CAGCCAGGCATGGTGGTGGGTGCCTGTAATCCCAGCTACTTAGGAGGCTCAGGCAAGAGAATCACTTGAACCGGGAGGTGGAGGTTGCAGTGAGCTGAGATCACACCATTGCACTCCAGCCTGGGCAACAAGAGTGAAACTCCGTCTCAAAAAAAAAAAGACATGGAAGAAAGGTGGTGCAAGAAGGCTTCCATGGAAAAAAATAAAAAATAGTCCAGGCACAGGTATAACATTCAGAGGTGGGGCCTTTAGGGGACAATTAGGTCATGAGACCGGAGCTCTCATGAGTGGAAAGGAACCACAGAGAGCTCTCTGTTCTTGGCCATGTGAAAATACAATAAGAAGATGACCACCTGCACACCAGGAAGACAGCCCAGACAGCCCCTACCAGACACCATAGCTACTGGCACCTTGATCTTGGACTTCCAGCCTCTAGGAATCTGAGAAATAAATTTCTGTCATTTAAGCCATGCAGTCTGTAATATTCTGTCATAGCAGCCTGAGCACACTGTGATATACATACACACACACAAATACCCACACATATACACACATGTACAATACATACACATATATGCACAACACACATATATACATGTATGCACACATACACACAAATACATACACACCTATGTACAGTGAGAACAAGTGGGAGTGAGGCCAGGGAGTGTTTGGGGACCAGGACTGGTGGGAGAGGGGATTTGGTAAAGCACAAGGTGGAAACGTAGCACAGAAGAGACCTTCTCATCAGAGGAAGGGCTCAGGTGGGCTGAAAAGGGCCCCACAAAGAGGCCAAGTCTATGTGGTAGGAGGACCAGCAAGTAACATGGTCATGTTGTGGCACCTGGCCCGGAAGCCCGAGACACAGGTGTGGGAAAAGTGGGTCAACAGGTCCCATGGGTCCCCTGTCAAGGATGCACTGTGTTGGCGGGAAGCCAGCAGCCTGCTCTCCCAGGCCAGGGCCCCTGCATGCTGCTGTACCAGGTCTGCCCCTCCTCATCTCAAGGAGAGGCTACAAGGAGGTTCTTGCAGGCTGGAGGCCAGAGGGTACACCCTTTCCCCATCCCCCTGTCTGTCCCTGCCCACCAAGGCCGAGCCCTCAGTCTCCCATGCCGGGCAGGTGCTGCGGAGAGGTGGGGCTGAAATGGAGCTGCACCACGTCAATGCACTGCTGCTCATACTAAGGCCCCAAGGCCAGCCTAGGTGGCTGGACCCATCCAGCCTTGTCTAGCCTCCAGCTCAGAGTGAGACCACAGGAGACACAGCCGTTCCCTGATGCCAGGGGTTCCTCCCCTACCAAGAAGGCCTGCCCTGCCCTGGTCCCTGTATTGACTATGTTTCCAGCTTCTGCAAACAATGCTTTAGCATCTGCCTTATGTTGACATATGCTGGACAATATGGACCTGACATTGGATGGCCTTAGTGGACCATCTTCAACTGATGATCTGATGAGCCCCTGACATGTCATGTGAACTCAAAGATGTATTGAGTTATTGAGTTATTTCCTGAACACAGACAGGAAATAAAGGAGACAGCAAAGCTGAAGATAATGCAAAGGCCTAGTTGAAGGCCTAGCTAAGCCCAGAAAGTCAAGGACCCCGAAATGACCAGCAGAGCTGCAGGCCAGCAGTTCCTTACACTGAGGACCCCTACCCTTTATGGGAAGTTATTATCAGTGTAAGGAACTGTTTGCCAGACAAGTTCCCAGATGCCAGTCAGAAGCCAACCTCGGGTGCTGTATCAGCTTCTGCACTCCAGAGCTCACAGCAACTGTGGTTTGATTCCAACTGGAGGGAAGGTGAATAGACAGGAGAGGACAGAAACAGGGTGATCATGCATCCCAGTTTGCCTGGGACTTGGGGCGGGCAAGGGTCGGGGAGCGTCCCTGCACATGAGACTTTCTGTGCTAAAACCAGGATGGCAAGTGGAGAAGTTTCAACATGTGTTTTGGAGAGGTCAATCATTTAAACTACAACAGACGCTGACTACTCAGAGTTAGCACAGACCTCACAGGTGAAGGGCTCAGTCCCACAAGATTGCCCTCACTTCAGGTGCCAGTCACAAGTAGTGACTATCCACACTTCTGTTTGACTTGGCTTCAAATCAAGGGTTCCTATGACCTCCTCTTCAGGTTTAGTAATTTGCTACAACAGCTCAGAGAACTCAGGGAAACGCTTTATCTACTGCTTTATTCCATCTGGGCTGATTTAACAAAATACCATAGACTGAGTAATTTATAAACCATAGAAATGTGTAGCTCACAGTTCTGGAGATTGGTAATTCCAAGATCAAGACACCTGCAGGTTTAGTGTCTGGTAAGGGCTCTCTCCTTCATAGATGGTAACTTCTCACTGTGTCCTCGAGAGGCAGGAGAAAGGATCGTGCTCCCTTGGGCCTCTTTCATAAGGGCACTAATTCCATTCACAAGGGCTCCACCCTCATGACCTAACCACCTCCCAAAGGCCTCACCTCTTAATAGCAACATTTTGGGGATTAGATTTGAACATATATATTTTGGAGGGACACAATCAGATCATAGCATCTATGTTTACCAGTTTATTACAAAGCGTATTTTAAAGGAAACAGATGAACACCTAGAATAACAGGTCCCAAAAGAAACTGTTCCTCTAATTACAACACTTCTGGAAGAATCTCAAGCCCCAGAGCTTCTGGTCCCACGCAGTTCGGGAGGTGTCACCTTCCCAGCATGTGGATGCATTCACCAACTTGGAAGCTCTCTGAACCTCATTGTTTAGATTTTTATGAAGGTTCATTACTGAGGCATAATTGATTAATCACTGGCCATTAGTAATGACAGTCAAAAGAAATGTTTTTATGTGAGGAATACGAGTTTCCTCCAAATTATCAGGCCCAAAAAGGCATGAGAAACAGACAGCAGTCACATCCCACTTCCTCCCTCTTGCTAAATAATCACCTCTTGAAACTGCTTGCTATGTGAACTCTGGACTGAATGCCCCCAGGTTACTGAAAATTAACCTAACAATACTGCATGCTCCACGACATAACTCATACCCTGTCGTTCAACAATGTATAGCCATCACTAATCAATGTTATTTCTGTAAACCAATGAGAATTCCTGACAAACAACTTTTTATCAGCCCCATGCCTAGTCCCCTTGTTTGACTTTAAAAACTTGCTTGTAACAAGGGCTGCATGAAGCTCATATCCGAGGTTACTTGCGTGTTGAGTCTTCTGGGAAGCTGTCTTCATTTTGGTTCAAATGTAAATTCTCCACTTTTATTAACTTTTGCCCTAGTTTATTCCTTTAGATCAACTGTAATCAAATCTATCTTTAGCCTCTCTCCCCTCTCTGGAGGTTGAGACTACAAGTTCCAACCCTCTAATCACATGGTTGGTTTCTCTGATAACCAGCTCCTATCCTCCAAAAGCCACACTGCATTAGTGGCATAAACTCAGGTATGGTTAAAAGGGACTTATGATGAATAACAAAAGATGTCACTATCACTCAAGAAGTTCTAAGGGTTTTACAAATGCTCATCAGTGATAAGACTGGACAAAGAAAATGTGGTATATGTATACCATGGAATACTATGCAGTCATAAAAAGGAACAAGATCATGTCCTTTGCAGGGACATGGATGGAGCTGGAAGCCATTATCCTCAGCAAACTAACGCAGGAACAGAAAAGCAAACACCGCATGTTCTCAGTTCTAAGTGGGAGCTGAACAATGAGAACACATGGACACAGGGAGGGGTACAACACACGCTGGGACCAAAAGGGGGCTGGGGGAAGGCAAAACATCAGGATATCAGCCAATGCATGCTGTGCTTAATACCTAGGTGATGGGCTGATAGATGCAGCAAATCACCATGGGATATGTTTACCTATGCAACAACATGCACACCCTGCACATGTATCCTGGAACTTAATATTTAATTTGAAAACACATATACAAATGATAAACATCAGGATAGCAATTAGCTGGGGTAGAGGGATGAGAAAGAGGAGGGGGCCGGGCACTGTGGCTCACAACTGTAATCCCAGCACTTTGGGAGGCTGAGGGGGGTGGATCACGAGGTCAAGAGATCGAGACCATCCTGGTCAACATGGTGAAACCCTGTCTCTACTAAAAATACAAAAATTAGCTGGGCATGGTGGTGCGTGCCTGTAGTCCCAGCTACTCAGGAAGCTGAGGCAGGAGAATTGCTTGAACCTAGGAGGCGGAGGTTGTAGTGAGCCAGGATAGCACCACTGCACTCCAGCCTGATGCCTGGTGACAGAGCAAGACTCTGCCTCAAAAAAAAAAAGAAAGAAAGAGGAGGGAACTCTCAGAAAATTGCAACAATATTAGTAATACCAGCCAAAGTTATTGTTAACTCCACAGAAAGTAAGCAGTGCTGGAAGTAAAATTAATCAAATCCATATATAGACCCCAGATACACTTTGTTTTGGCTATCCCGCACTTTAATTATTTTGTAATTAAACATCACTACTGAAAATCGGGAAAATTGCACATAAAAATCCAGAATTCTAGACGTAAAAAAAAAAAAAAAAAAAAAATTCCTAGGTCTAGATAAACTGCCTGCATTTCCTCAAAAAGAGCTTCAGCTGGAGCTGCAAATGGCCCTCTGGAGTCCCCCAGTATCCACTCACTCGCCCTCCCAGACCCCACAGGCCCCAACGTCGCCTATCCCCACCCCACCAGCCCAGTCTTTCACTACCCTAGGAACTCTCCTACGTGCGGTCTACGCAAGCCGGCAGGAATGGGGGGACAGCACCGATAACAAAGGGTTGTCTCCCACACTCCGGATGAGGATAGGGTACTACTGGCAAGAGGGCAATCTAAGCCTTCCTTCCTAGGTTATCTTAGAAATTTAGAATCACTCATCGCGCCACTTGCGCCCTCAGCAAAGTCGACACTAGCCGAAAGGGGTGGCCGGAAGCGGGAGGCGTGGCTTCCGGTCGGGCGGTAAGAGGCTCTTCTCGTTTCCGCCGGCGCTCAGAGTGACGTGTGGAAGCGCGCCGCGCCGCGTGTTTCCGGGGACAGTGCGGGCGGCGGATGGAGGTCAGCGGAGGTGCTAGCGGCGTAGGTCTTGTGGCACGGGAAGAAGGGGCGGCTGAGCGTGGGTTTCGAGGCACACAGGCGTGGTTGGGAAGGTGTCAGGGGTCCTGGGATGCGGTGAGCCCGGGGAACAGGCTGGGACGCGGTGGGATGTGGTGGTCGCTTGTCCGTTCTGGCCTGCCGGTGCTCACGCTTCCCTTCTTCTCACGTAGTCCTCGCGTCCCAGCCTGGAAGACGCCGCCCCTGTTGACCGTTCATGACCCCAACGAGCCAGTTTTTGTGACTTAGTGCAAGCTGTTCTCTCGTTTAGAACCAAGGTTTTGGATTGGTGTTTGCCTAAACCCCAGTCCAGCTTCTGGGCTTTCGTTTACTCCGCTAAACTACCCTTGGGGCTCTCTTAATAATCGGAAAGGAGGCCGGGAGCGGTGGCTCACGCCTGTAATCCCAACACTTTGGGAGGTTGAGGCGAGTGGATCACCTGAGGTGTCAGGAGTTCGAGACCAGCCTGGCCAACATGGTGAAACTCCTTCTCCACTAAAATTGCAAGAATTAGCCAGGCGTGGCGGCGCGCGCCTGTAATCCCAGCTACTTTGAAGACTGAGGCAGGAGAAACGCTTGAATACGGGAGGCGGAGGTTTCAGTAAGCCCAGGTCGCGCTATTGCACTCCAGCCTGAGCAAGAGAGACTGTCTCAAAAAATAAAATAAGTCTGAAAGGTTTCTCCACTGTGCTTAGACTCAGGAAGTGGTAGACGTTGCGTTTGGGCAAATTATTCCTCCTCTTTGAGCCCTCTTCCCCGCCCCCTCGCCCTTTATGTGGAGATAGACTAAGCTTTTTACAGTTGCAGTAATTCCCTCATATAAAAATAAAATGCTGGCCATATACCAAGTTTCAGGAAGTGGAGAAAGATCAAACGTACTTTCTGCTTTGGCAGAAATAAGGCCCAGGTGAACGTTTTAGCTTGCCGTTGTCACAGGTCTTCCCTGGGTCGTTTAATCACCTTAAGGAGCTAGGCTAGCTGATATTGTTAAAAGCAACATTAAAGTGATATGTAACGAATTAGTGGAGATGGCGACATTGTGTTTAGCCTTGGAAAGATGAGATGTGTTTTAAAGGGCCTTGTAGGGGGAGAAGGACACCCGGATAACAAGCCCTGTAGGGTGGAGTGGAAGTGCCAGGCCTGTTTAAAATGGGGCCTTGTGTTGTAGGGAGGCAAGAGAAGGCTAAGACTGAGAAAATTATTCTGGGCCATGTTATGAAGTGCTTCTTAATGGTTTGGAATTTTTGCTGTTAGAAATTTGGTGGGGGGTTTTAGTAGTTTAGTGATGCAATCTGTCTTGGTTTCAAGAGGCTCACGCCTATGTCTGTAGTGTTAAAATATCCAGAGAGGCTTTTGGGAATGTGAATTCTGTGTTGTGGATTTTCCAGGATCATTCTGATTTAAAATATCCTGTCCCATTGTCTCTTTAAGCCAGTAATTCTTTTTCTTTTCTTTTTAAATTTTACTTTAAGTTCTGGGGTACAAGTGCAGATTTTGCGTGATTGTTGCATAGGTATACACATGCCATGGTGATTTGCTGCCTCCATCCCCCCCTCCACCTACATATTTCTCCTAATGTTATCCCTCCCCAATCTCCTCTCCCCCTCCTATCCCTCCCCTAGCTCCCCACCCCCCAACAGACCCCATTGTGTGATGTTCCCCTTCCTGTGTCCATGTGTTCTCATTGTTCAACACCCATCTAATAAGACTGAGAACATGCGATAACATTATTTTGGTTTTCTGTTCTTGTGTCAATTTGTTGAGAATGATGGTTTCCAGATTCATCCATGTCCCTGCAAAGGACATGAACTCATCCTTTTTTATGGCTGCACAGTATTCCATGGTGTATATGTGCCACATTTTCTTTATCCAGTCTATCTCTGATGGGCATTCTTTTTTCTTTTTTTTTTTTTTTTTTTTGAGGTGGAGTTTCACTCTTGTTACCCAGGCTGGAGTGCAATGGCGCAATCTCGGCTCACAGCAACCTCCGCCTCCTGGGTTCAGGCAATTCTCCTGCCTCAGCCTCCTGAGTAGCTGGGATTACAGGTACGCGCCACCGTGCCCAGCTAATTTTTTGTATTTTTAGTAGAGACGGGGTTTCACCATGTTGACCAGGATGGTCTCGATCTCTTGACCTCGTGATCCACCCGCCTCAGCCTCCCAAAGTGCTGGGATTACAGGTGTGAGCCACCACGCCCGGCCCCTTTTTTCTTTTTTTCTTTTTTTTTTTTTTATATATGAAGTCTCGCTCCCTCACCCAGGCTGAAGTGCAGTGGTGCAATCTCGGCTCACTACAACCTTCACCTCTCAGATTCAAGCAATTCTCGTGCCTTAGCCTCCCAGGTAGCTAGGATTACAGGCATGCACCATGATGCCCAGCTACTTTTTGTATTTTTAATAGAGATGGGGTTTCACTATGTTGGCCAGGCTGGTCTTGAACTCCTGACCATCCTCAAGTGATCCATCCACCTCGGCCTCCCAAAGTGCTGGGATTACAGGCGTGAGGCACTGTGTGTGGCCAAGCTAGTAATTCTTAATCCTGGTTACCCTTGAAATTAAAAAAAAAAAAAAAATGCTCTCTGGGCCCTGTCTTCAGACATGCCCATTTAGGAGGCCTTGGACAGGACCTGGGAATCTGGATTGTTGAACCACATCCTAGGTGATTTCAAATTAAAAGCAGGATGAAAACCCTCTCACCCAGGCTGTAATGCTCTTTAGTTTTGATATTTGATGACATTAGATAGGATGGCTCTGACTCCATTTCATTAGTCAGGTTTGTGAATCAGGAACCACCCCTATAGTAGCCCCTTCTCTCTCCTTTTCCTCTTCAGGGTTTGGAATCACTCGCTAGGAGTCTTGTCTCTTTGCCACCCAGGACATCATGGCGGCTCACCTGGTAAAGCAATGCACGTGCCTCCTGAGAGAAGCTGCTCGTCTGGCCCCTGCCATGGCTCCAATTGGCCAACTGAGACTTGCCAGGGTAGCTCAGAAGACTCTGACTTCCTCAGCCACCTCACCCAGTTCCCACTTCCCAAGTTCCATGATGAAGCTGGTGGAGAATGAAAATGAGAAAGTGTTTACTCTCTACCCAGGGAACCACATAGACCAGCTCATCAAGAAGGCCACAAGGCCAGAGGAGCTCCTGGAGCTCCTTGATGCTGGTCACCACTTGAACAACAATCATGCAGCCCTCATATTTATCCGGCTCTCTCGATTGCCGTTTGAGAAGCCCGAAGACAAGGCCTCGCTCATACAGGATGCCCGCTTTCAGCAACTTCTCCATCTGCTCAACAGTCAGGTGGGTGCCACTGTGTTGTCTGAGAGCATGGGCAAGAGGAACACAGCCAGCACTGCTGGAGTCCACAGCAGCCAGTGCTTACCAAGCATAGGCAGGGGCCTTGCATGTCTTGTGATACTTTTTTTATAAATTTCAAAGTGCTTTATTGTGCTTTCTCTTTGTTTATTCTTACAAGAGCCCTGTTAGGTAAATATTCCTGGGCAATATCCTTGGTTGTCTGTCCTCTTACAGACAGACAACCGAGACGCTTAGTAATAGAAACACAAGAAGCGAGCCTGGTTCTTCTCAGTTCTTTGGGTGCTTTTCCCCTCACCATACAGTCTTGACTTGTATTGCTCTGGCTGACAGCAAGTCACTGCTCTTGAAGCCAGAGGAGATGCAGCATGATTGATGGGAGGTCCCTGAAACCTGAGACAGACGTGGGCATGATCTAGTCGTGTTCGGACCCTCCAAGGATGACCAGGGAGAGAGGAAACAAGACCTGTTTGTGTGGCACTGAGCGGGGGAGAACTCAGACTACAGAAGCCAGTTTCTGCTCACTGTGAGGGACTCCCATCTTAGAGAATCTTCCCCAGGCTCCATGCACAGATGAAAAAGGAGTACGGACTCCTGCTGTGACTGAACCGGCCCTCCTTGGTCTGCTCGGGCACTGGAACCACGTTTCCAGTTGTCAGGTGTGACGAAGAGAAAGGCACTAACCAAGGAAAGAGTTGCACTAAATGAGTGTTTTTCAAGCTGCAGGTTATAAAATCAGTGTAGTGGGATGTGGCCAGCTGTGTCTTAATGAGCTAGAGTAGTATAGAAAAATACTAGAATTCAGCAGACATAGTAAGGGGAATCAGTACTGTCTCATGGAACTTCGGTTTTAGTGAAGTATGTATGTATTTGCATGTGTTGTGTGTACTGGGGTCACAGTACGTGTTCATTTCTTGCGAAGGATATAATTCCTCAAATGAATTTTATTAGGTCCCCCTTTTTATTTGGCTGTAATTCGAATTGTTGTTTATCGACTCTTACACGTGGTTTAAGCAAGTCGTTTGATACAAGACTGAACCTTGTAACAAAATTATAAGGCAAGTGTCTGCAATGTGATAACAGCTTTCTTTGCAAAGATTTTCCTGCTGTCCATGAAACCAAAAGGTGGACACCCATACCTTCTGTGGGATTGGAATTTACCCCAGTCCCTTCTCGCTCTTTCCCAGCTCTCCAGACAGCAGCTTCTCAGTTCCTAGCTCACCTCGTTGTAGGCGTGGTTTCTGCTTCTCATTAACAGGTAAAGAGACTGAGCCTGAGGTGTCAGTGTTGAGAGACTTGGCCGAAGAAAGGACAGAGCCATACTTGTTTTACCATTTGCTCTCTTCTTTGACAGTGGAGTTGGGGCCAAAGGGCTCTAGAGCCACCCATGTTGACATTCCACAATGTCAACAGTCTGTGAACAGCAGTTACCCTCTTCAGAAACAAAGCAGGCACCAGCAGAGAGGGCAGGCTCTGGTGCAGGTTCCGGACCCAGAACTACTGTCAGACTTTGTAGAAATAAGTTCACCTTTGCTTACCTGTGCGATGGGGCTGATGATTCTCACAGGATGTTGGTGTCTTATAGGCACACGCAGAAGGATGCCTGGCGTTTCGTAGGAGCCTGTTCGGAGGCACTGCTGTTGGCAGCAGCAGCTGGGTCATCTCAGGAGGCCTCTGCTTTTGGGAGCAGGCAGGGCTTAGTGATACCACAGTTCTTTTTGCCCATGTCAAAGGCTTTCCTGCACACCTTTGTTCCCGGGGTGCTCCTCCCTTTGCAGGCAGTTGAGGGGCTGACGTGCTTGGGTGCCACGTACCTGGAGGGTAAAGGTGGTGGCTCACTCAAGCCCTGCGCCTGCTCTGCAGGGACTTTGCTTCTGCAGCAGTTGCATTCCTAAGAAACTTCATATTGCCAGAAACTTCGAGGTTGTTTGTTGGAGAAAAGTATAAGGGTTGGAGCTTCTCTGACTCAAAAATAAATTATTTTACTGGAGAAAAGCCAGTGTTTATCTTTTTGTTGTTTTTGTTTTGTTTTCTTTGAGGTGGAGTCTCACTGTCACCTAGACTGGAGTGCAGTGGCATGATCTCAGCTCACTGCAGCTTCTACCTTCCAGGTTCAAGTGATCTCACCTCAGCCTCCTGAGTAGCTGGGACTGCAGGTGTGTGCCACCATGCCTGGCTAATTTTGTTTGTTTGTTCGTTTGTTTTTGAGATGGAGCCTCACTCTGTCACCCAGGCCGGAGTGCAATGGTGTGATCTTGGCTCACTGCAGCGTCCACCTCCCAGGTTCAAGCAATTTTCCTGCCTCAGCCTCCCGAGTAGCTGGGACTACAGGCATGTGCCACCACGCCTGACTAATTTCTTTTGTTTTTAGTAGAGAAGGAGTTTCACTGTGTTAGCCGGGCTGGTCTCGAACTCCTGACCTCAGATGATCTGCTTGGCTTAAGCCAGTGTTTTTAATACTTAAAACTTACAATGTCATTGCAAGTATAAGTCATGAATGATAACAAAACTGATCTTAGCAAGCCTAAGTGCCACCTTCCCTGCCATCAGGTCGCATTCATCAGGCTCCACTTTTTCTCTGACCTCTTCCGTTGACTTGACGCTGTACTTGCAGCTCAGTCTGCATGCCCACCACACAGAGCGGTAGCCAGGACTATATAAAAGGGTGTGGTCTCTCTTTAATCAGCTTCATGAGGTCAAAGTTTCGTTGGGAGAAATTTGGAGAATTTCTCTTGCCACTCAGTTCTTGCTTGTTAGCAATTGCAAATGACCTCGGCTACCTTGAGCAGAAATGTGCTATTTATTGGAGCTGAGAGGATCAGGCTCAGAGTTGTGCCCTTGGATGTGGCCTGTGCCTAAGGGGAGCTCCGGCTGTGCAGATGCTTGGCAGCCATGTCAAATTCATTGCCTGCCCTGCCCATGGTAGGCACTGGCCCAGAAGGCTGCCACAGAAACACTGTAACTCATGGGCCCTGTTCCTGTGTCCCAGGCTCAGGGATAAATTTGGTTACAGACACCAAGCATCTAGGCCTCAGGGCTAAGCAAGGCTGTGAGGAGCAGCCAGGCACCCGGGCTCTGTTTGAACAGAGTGGGGAACTGACACTGTCTTCTCTGAAGAGTTATAGTAAACGCCCATGAAATGAGGTTCAAAAGGGCAGCCTCCAGCTCACACACAGGATTTACACTACCACGTCACTTCTCCTGTGTCCTTTCCCTGCCTAGATATCCTCGGTCTGGCATGGTACCCTCTCGAGGCTGCTGCGGAGCCTCTATTCTCTGGGCCTCCCCGAGACCTCCAAGGAGCTGCAGTCAGTGGAGCAGGAGGTCCGCTGGCGCATGCGGAGGCTCAAGTACAGGCACCTGGCCCTTCTGGCAGAGTCCTGTGCCACTCTCTCACGGAAGCAGCACTCCCAGGAGCTGCTCGCTGAGCTGCTCATGCACCTGGAAAGGCGCTGGACAGAAATTGAAGATGGCCGCACATTAGTGACCATCATGATGAAGGTGGGACACCTCTCGGAGTCACTGATGAACCGCCTGGAAGACAAGGTACTGAGCCTGAAAGCAGGTGGCACCCAGCCTGCCTCTCCTGGGCCTTGGGTTTATTCTTGAGGTGACAGTCATCTGTAGGGGGGTGTGTTGCATGCACTGAGATCAGAGCCCCAGGAGCTTCTGTCTGAAGCCTTGGGCTTCACATGGTGCAGGACCAGAGGGCTTGGAGCTGCAACAGACAGTTGCCCTGTGGCTGCATTCATCAAGCACCACTCGCTCCTCCCAACACAGGCGATTTCCTGATTGCACCGTTAGCTTTCCCCCAAACCCCATCATGGCATGATCTTGAGACAGGGGCATGGCAGGCAGCTCCTCAAGTAACACAGGTACTGCCCAGGCCTGGCTTCTGACTAGGACTCTCCTAGAGATGTGTTAACCTCTACCAGCTGTGGCCCTGCAGTCAAGTCAGATTCAGTGCCTGTTCCTGTCACAGCGGGGTCTGGCCCAGATGGCTGCCACAGCAAGCTCCACAGCTCATGGGCCCTAGGTCGCCCACTCTGGAATCTGAGGATAAGTTTGGCTGTGGACACTGTTCCAGGTCAGGTGTTCCTGGGGTGGATGAGGAGAGCCTATTTAGTCAGCTCAGGCCCAGTTGCTATCTCACAGGGGCTGCACTGGATGGGACCGTGGGACCCCTGCCCCCAGCTCGTCCCTGCCACCTCAGGCCATTGAGCTGACCTCTGCGCGGCTGTGGTTGACAGTGCCTGGAGTTAGTGGAGCAGTTTGGCCCCGACGAGCTGCGGAAGGTGCTGGTGACACTGGCAGCTCAGAGCCGGCGGTCTGTGCCCTTACTGCGGGCCGTCTCCTACCACCTGGTGCAGAAGCCCTTCCATCTGACGAAAGGTATTCTCCTGGACCTGGCCTATGCCTACGGTGAGCCTTCGGACAGAACAGTGGGGAGAGGGGTGCTCTGGCCCTGCAGGTACCTGCAGCTGTGTCAAATTCAGTGCCTTTCCTTCACGTGGTAGGCACTGGCCCAGAAGGCTGCCACAGAAACACTGTGACTCATGGGCCCTGTTCCTGTATATCAGGCTCAGGGATAAATTTGGTTACAGACACCTGGTCTAGACCTTGAGGCTGAGGTGGGGTGGGGCTGACAGGTGATTGCTGACCCTCCCCAGCTAAATCCTGTGATCTGCTCTGTCCCGAAGGCAAACTCAACTTTCACCAGACCCAGGTGTGCCAGCGCCTGGCCGCCGACCTGCTGTCCCTCACACCCAGCCTGACTTCCGGTGAGGTGGCCCGCTGTGCCAAGTCCTTCGCCTTGCTCAAGTGGCTCAACCTGCCCCTGTTTGAGGCCTTTGCCCAGGTGAGCCAGGGCTAACTCCAGGGTCCGGGACCTGGCCCAACCAGCCTCAAACCACTGAGGATGGCTGGGTTTCAGGGGGCTCTCTCCATTGCCTGGTCTCAATTGAGAGGAGCTGGCTTCCTGGGCGTCTGCTCAGAACCATTGCTTTCGTTAGGAAAGCAAAGCCAGTCTGAAAATGCTCGCTTGGGACAAAATGTTTCTTGCATTTTGGCTTATTTTTAAAGAGCTGCTGTTCAGTTCTCAAAAAAACTGTTTCCTCTGTTTTGTCACTGACCATCATAAGTGCTTCCATCCGCGTTGGGGTAGCTGTAGCAGGTAGCAGCATGGCCAGTGAGGCTAAGAATCCACTCAGAACTGTCACCTGAGTCACCGACCCCACCCCACCAAAGTGGAACTCTAAAGGAAGATGACACCTGCACTTAGGTTTATGTGTGACCAGTCTAAACTAAGTTTACTGGTTGGGGAGCATTTCTAAAGCCCTTATGAGAAAGAAGCAGTTTCTAGGTGTCCCCAGCCTCTGTGTGTAGTTGCTATTGGACGAAGGAGGGTCTGGGCCTGTGTAAGTCCCCCCGTGTATTTGGCACAGCTCATGGGGCCTGGATGGAGGGTCCTGCCATTGCCCCTGGCCATGCAGGCTCCCCTCAGGCTCAGAGCTGGGTGGGAGGACAGTGAGGCAGAGAGCTTATCCTGTCCCTCTGCTGTCTCTGACCCACCCAGCACTTCCTGAACAGAGCGCAGGACACCCCCCTGCCCCACCTGTGCAGCATGCTCCTGGCTTTTGCGCGTCTGAACTTCCATCCAGACCAAGAGGATCAGTTCTTCAGCCTGGTACAACCTCTGGGCTCTCATTGCTTGACCCTTACCAGCTAATGTCTCAGGATCAGCTCGGGCTGGGTAGAGGGGAAGGGGCTGTTTTGCATGGCATGGGAGGGCAGAGAGAGATAGATGGCCGGAGTCAGGTGTCCGAGGGATCACTGAGGACAAACACAGAATCCTAACCAGTCTGGTTAACTGCCCTGCCAGGCAGTGCTGGGGGGGGGGGCCTACCTCTGTTGCTCCTTTTAATGCCCTTTTGATGCTCAGAAGCTCCAGTGGGTGTTCCTGCTTTGTGCCCCAGCTCAGGGTGGGAGGGGGAGCCCTCTATATGAAAACCTCAGGACAGGCCACAGAGGCCAGCAGGCCGTATGTGACCCCGGGATTCCATTACGGGTTTGCCTGGCACAGCCCTGAGAAAAACCAGCCAGGAGCTGGGATTGCTTCTTCAACTCTTGGATGCTCTCATTCTCTCAGAGGACCAGAAGCACCTCTTCCCTTGTTTCAGGTGCCCACTTGGAGACATTATTTGAGAAGGGATTTTTTTTTTCCTGCCAGTGGGTTGGTTATAGTAAACCTAATCAAATGCCAGCATGTGGCAGCACTCTTCCTGCTGTCCAGAGTGGTCTTGGGGCATGAGGAAGATTCCTGGTATCTTCAAGTCCAGGATTGCTCCAGGCCTCACCAAGGACCAGGGTTCTGCCTCTTGTTCCCCAGTAGCCTCCTCTGGCCTCATCCCAACCAGGTCAAGACCACATCATGGACTATGGCTCACCCGTGGCTATTTGCAGCCCCTAAGCAGAACTTGCTTTCTCCACCACACCCTATCCTTGCCCAGGTACACGAGAAGCTGGGGTCAGAGCTGGCGGGCCTGGAGCCAGCCCTGCAGGTGGACCTGGTGTGGGCCCTGTGTGTGCTGCAGCAGGCACAGGAGGCGGAGCTGCAAACTGTCCTTCACCCTAAATTTCACACCCAATTTCTAGGTGAGCCCCCTGCCCCTAGTACTACTGGTACTGGGAAACTGCCTGGTCTTGTCTCCCTAGTGCCGGGTGAGAATCTGGGGCAGAGGGAGGCCAGGGTTCTCCATCACCCTTGCTCCCTATCCCCTGCCTGTGGGTAGCCAGCAGACCGTAACTCTGCTGCCTCCTGACCCAGAGAACTGGGCTGGGACTGTGTGTAGGGGTGCCACTGCCCTCCCATCCGGGGTCTCTCCATCTCTGTTCCTCCTGACCCTAGGCTCAACTCCCTCTTCTTTCTCCTTGTCCCCTAGGGGGCAAGTCTCAGAAGGATCAGAACATCTTCCAGAAGCTGCTCCACATTAACGCCACTGCCCTGCTGGAGCACCCTGAGTACTCGGGTCCCCTTCTGCCAGCCTCAGCTGTGGCACCTAGGCCCTCAGCCCTTGACAGGAAGGTGACCCCCCTGCAAAAGGAGCTGCAGGAGACACTGAAGGGGCTGCTGGGGAGCGCCGACAGGGGCAGCCTCGAGGTGGCCACGCAATACGGCTGGGTGCTGGGTGAGGGCTCCCCCTGGTTGGCAGAGAGCTGCAGAGTGTCAGCCTGGGCCCCCCGCAACCCCACCTTTGTTCATCCTTCCTGTGGGGGATTTCTGAGGAATGTCTGCCAACGTGTTCTCACCCCAAACCCCTTCCCCAGATGCTGAGGTGCTGCTGGACAGTGACGGCCAGTTTCTGCCCTTAAGGGACTTTGTGGCACCTCACCTTGCTCAGCCAATTGGGAGCCAGCCACCACCTCCAGGGGCTAAGAGGTAGGTGGTCAGGGACCTGCTGGCCATGGCCCCAGTGAAGGTCTGTGGGGGGTACCGTGGCTGTTGGACTGTGTATTCTTTGCTTTCCCTCTTTGCCCTCCGAGGGGCTGGAAGAGTGGAAGCTTGTCAGCCACCCCTTCTTCCTTCCAGGCTAGCTTTCCTGCGGTGGGAGTTCCCCAACTTCAACAACCGAAGCAAAGACTTACTGGGTCGCTTTGTCCTGGCCCGGCGACACATACTGGCTGCAGGCTTCCTGATAGTGGATGTGAGTACCTCTTGGGCAGGTGGTCGCTGCATAGGGAGGATCCCCCATGCTGGAGAGGGGATCAGGTGGAAGCAAAACCAGCCTAGAGCCAGGGGGTATAGACACATTGCTCTGCCCGTGCCCCCAGGCCTCTCCTAGGAGCCCAAGGAGGGAGTTCACTGTGGATCCTGGCTGCTCCAGCCTCCCCTCACACCTTCCCAGCATCTCACCCCGTGAGTGAACCCAGAAAGGCCACCAAGTTTCCTCATTCAGCTTAGGAGGTGGGCAGTGTAGGGCCCATTCATAGATGAGCAGCTCGAAGCCCAGGAGGCTGCACAGCTGTTGAAACTCTGAGTGCAGCTGCTCTGCCTCCTTGGTCAGGGCCTGTTCTCAGGAAAGGAAGGAGCAGTGGGACTGGCAGAAGCAGAAAGACACAGGTCCTGGGCCCAATTCTGGTCTCACGCCTGGGAGACCTTGGCTAAAACAAAAGGGTGTCAACTTTCTTGGGAAGGGCCAGTGAATGAACGTGTGGCTTCATGAGCCACGGAAGGGTTCTATCAAGTTTTCTTCTTTAGGTTGTGAGTTTTTTATCAACTATTTAGAATTCAGAAGCCCTTCTTGGGCCTCTGAGTGGTTTACAGACCCCTCCAGCACTGACAGTTCGAGGGCCTCTCCCCACCCGTACTGTCTTCGGTTCTGCCTTGAGGACTTGGAGGCCAAGGGGCAGGTGTGCAGAGCTGTTGGTCACCAGAGGTGTGGGGAGAGGGCAGCGGGCAAGCAGGCAGAGCCACTGACTGAAAAGGATCTCCTTACCCACGTGACCTGTCTCCCCTGCCTCCTCCTAGGTCCCATTCTATGAGTGGCTAGAACTCAAGTCTGAGTGGCAGAAAGGTGCTTACCTCAAAGACAAGATACGCAAAGCGATGTCTGAGGAGCTGGCCAAGTGACCTGTGTTGGCGTCATGGACTGCATGCTCAGGGTGCTGACTCTGCCAGAGGTCTAGCTGTGAGCGGGCAAGAAGTGTCGCCCTTGAGGACAAACCACTGTGTGGGACCTTGGCCAGAGTGGGGAGGGCGGCCAGCAGCTCTGAGGAACAAAGCATCCTCTCGTGTGTAATAAATTTTTAATTTTGGTGTTGGACCCTGGGGGCCTTCCCAGGCTTTGTCACCCTCCACACTGTCAGCACTTGTCTGTCTGCACTCCCCCATCACGCCCAGCCCAAGAGGGCTGCTTTAGGGACAAACCTGGTCGTCACCCGCCTTCTCTCCCAGCTTCTTACCACGCGTGCATATTCACATGTGCCAGCCTCTTGGGTAGGGACCTGGGTCAGCCCCAGCAGACAGGTGGAGTCCTGGAATTCTGAACCTCCAGGGAAGAGGAGCTTCAGTGCATGGCTGGGGATTCTGATGGACCTGTGACTGCTGAACCACAGCCAACCTGGGAGGCTTTCTCCTGTCAGTAGTCTCATGCTTAGGTGAGTGAAAGGCATCCTGGCAGCATGTGGTGACAGGCGATGTAAAGGCTGGGTGAGCACACTTGGGAAAGGAGATCCCACTTGGTTGACAGCACAGTGCCAGGAGCCAGACTTCGTCTCTGTCTTCCCCACCCTGACCAGCGTTGTGCTGTCATCACAGGAACTGGCTGCCCAAGCAGGGCTCTGCCGCCTCCCTGCTGCTGCGGGGATCACCAGATGCTGGGAGGCAACAGGCTTTCTACCTTCCAGCCTCTTAGAGACACCCTTTGGCAGGACCTGACTAAACAGCAGCCGGGACTGAGTTGCCTCCAGCCATACAGAATGGAGAGCGGGACAGTGGGGTGGAGCTGAGCATGGAGAAGCCCGCTACACTCAGCACTGCAGGCTCCCCACCCTAGGCTGCTTACTCAGAAAGAACAAGTTACCGCTCTGACGCTTGGCCACTCACCCAAGCATTGAGGTAGCTTTGTCCCGGCTGCATTGGGCACCATCTTTCACAGGTGAGCACGGTCCCTGTCGTTTGCACAGACTAGAGGGCTACCACAGGAGTGGTCCCTTACCCAGTGGGAGGGGAAAGCTGCCAGAGGTGACTTCTGAATCAAGGAAGAACATCCCAAGGGTAAGGGACAGCCAGGACAAGTGCTCAGGGTGTGGCAGCAACTTAGGTCTTAGAAGGGGGTGCACAGCATCTGCAGGGGTGAGACTGAGGAGCTGAAGGAGCCAGTTCAGGAGAGCCTGGTATGTATCTAACCAAGGAAATAAAAGCTCATCCTCAGGGCCCCTGACTTTTTATTTTTAGATAATTAACACATTCCTGTGCAGTTGTGAGAAATAATCTGTGATTCCCTCCATGGCAGAGTAGGGTGCGAGGTCACACCCAGATACTGACAGGAGCACAGGTCCAGCAGAAAGCATTTCCATCTCCAAAGGGCCTCGCGTTGCCCTTGATCCTCACCCTCTCCTCATCCTTCAGCAGCTGCAAGGCTTTGGGCATTCTAAGAATGTCACATAAAAATCAGGATGTGGACTTCCGGAATTGTATTTCTTGGCATAATTCTCTGAAAATTTGAATTCTCAAATTATTACGTGTATCAGTAGTTCATTTCTTTTTCTTGCTCTTGCATCTGTGTTGTGCTTTATTCTGTGATGTGGCTGTAACACCCGTATGCTTCCTTAACCCAGGGGAGATATCTGGGTTGTTTCCAGGTTTTCACTCTTGCTGATAAAGTAACCAGAAAAATCTGTGTCTAGATTTTGTGTAAGTTTTAATTTCTGTGGGGTAAAGATGCCCAGGAGTGCAGCTGCCAGGTCAGATGGAATGTGTGTTTTTCTAAAAACCTGCCATCTTGCATCTCTTTCTGATAAGTTGTCGGTAAATAGACATTTATTTGCCATCTATTCTCTTTGGTGAAAAGTCTTCTCATGCCTTTTGCCCGTGTTGTAATTGCATTTTCTTTTTTATCCGTCTTGCGAGGGCTTGGTAACAAGTGTTTTTTGGTTTTGCCTCTAGATGTCAGTTGCTCCAGAACCATTTGTTGAAAGGCCATCCTCTCCCATTGACTTTTGCATTTCTGTAAAAAGTCAGTTGCACATTTGTATGGGTCTGTTTCTGCATTTTCTGCTCTGTGCTGTTGGTCTGTACTATCTGTCTGCCAATACCACATTCTTTTTTTTTGCCAATCAGTTTGAGCTTATGAGGTTGCTCAGGTTAGCCTTGAACTGATGACCTCGCCTTCGCGAGCGCCATGACCTCCGGCGGGAGCCACTTTGGACCTCCTATACCACATTCTTGATTACTGTAGCTATAAAGCAGGCCTTACTGGGCAGAGTGTTGGGTTCTCCCACTTTATTTTTCAGAATTGTTTTAGCTATTCTTCCTTTTCCTGTTAATGCACATTTTTGAAAAAGCTCATCTTTGTCAAAAAAAAAAAAAAAAGTCTTACTGAGGTTTTGATAGGAGTTACATTCAACCTGTAGATCAGTTTAGGGAGACATGACACCTTTACTGTGTGGAATCTCCCCGTGGAAACAATAGCCATCTGTATTCAAGGGTTCAACCAACCCCAGATTGCGAGAGCCAAAAATCAAGAATACAAATGTAAATAACATGTAATTATTGACACAGCTTTTATATTGTCTTTTAAGTAGGTATTTTAAGTAGTCCAGAGATGTTTTAAAGGATACATGAAGATGTGCATCGATTATATGGAAATCCTATGCCATTTTCTAATAGGGACTGGAGCATGGGTGGCTGGATACCAAGGGATAACTGGCTATCTGTTTATTTAGGTTGTGTTAATGTTTTGTAGTTTTGTTTTTGTTTTTGAGATGGAGTTTCATTCCGATTGCCAGAGCTGGAGTGCAATAGTGCAGTCTCAGCTCACTGCAACCTCTGCTTCCTGGGTTCAAGTGATTCTCCTGCCTCAACCTCCCTAGTAGCTGGGATTACAGGCACCTGCCACCAAACCCAGCTAATTTTTCTATTTTTAGTAGAGACGGGTATTCACCATCTTGACTAGGGTGGACTTGGACTCCTGACCTCAGATGATCTGCCCGCCTTGTCCTCCCAAAGTCCTGCGATAACAGGCGTGAGCGACCATGCTTGGCCGATCTACATAGTAAGAAAAACTACAGGCTGGCATGGTTGGCAGTTCAAGACCAACCTGACCAACATGGTATAATCTCATCTTTACTAAAAATATAAAGTTTAGCTGGGGGTGGTGGCACATGCCAGTAATTCCAGCTACTCGGGAGGCTGAGGCAGGACAATTGCTTGAACCCAGGAGGTGGAGGTTGCGGTGAGCTGAGATTGCGCCACTTCACTCCAGCCTGGGTTACACAGCAAGACTCTCTTATCTCATCCTTTCAAATCCATATGCCTTTTATTTTGTTACTTTTGACCACTTTATTAAAATATAATTCACATGTCATATACTTCACCCATTTAAAATGTATAATTCAGCCGGGCGTAGTGTCTCATGCCTGTAATCCCAGCACTTTGGGAGGCCAAGAACCCCAGATCTTGAGCTCTAGAATTCAAGACCACCCTGGGCAACAGGCAAAACCGTGTCTCTATTTTTTTAAATATAAAAACTAGCTGTGGTGGCATGCACCTGTAGTCCCAGCTACCTACAAGACTGAAGTCAGAGGATCACCTGAGCCTGGGATGTCCAGGCTGCAGTGAGCCATGATAGCACCACTGTAATCTAGCCTGGGCAACAGAGCGAGACCCCATCTCAAAAACAAAAATGTATAATTCAGTGGTTTTGAGTCTCTTTGCAGATATATGCAGCCATCACCACAATCAATTTGAACATTTTGTAAACCTCATAAACCATACCCTACAGTTATTACCTCCCTATTTCCCCCCAACCCCCACCATAAGCAGCCACTAATTTTTCTCTATAGATAGATTTCCCTCTTGTGAACTTCATATGAATGAGATCATACAAGATGTGGTATTTTGGTATTTTATAAAGAAGTCTTTTTGGCTCACAAGTTCTGCAGGCTGTACAAGCATGTGGTACTGACATCTGCTTCATTTACTTAGCATGTCTTCATGCTTCACATGTTGGAGCATGTATCAGTGTTCCCTTTTCTGGCTGAATAGTATTCCATTGTATATTCGTGCCACATTTTGTTTATCCATTTATCCACTGATGGACGTGTGGGTTGTTTCCACCCTCTGGTTAATATGAATCGGTACAGCTTGGGTACTTTGGACTCTCCAAATCCCATGAAATAGGATCGCCAGTGTTGGAGAACGGGGCCTGTTAGGAAGTGTTTGGGTCATGGGAACAGATTTCTCATAAATGGCTTGGTGCCATCCTTGTTATGAGTGATCCTGCTCTATGTTAGTTCTCTTGAAAGCTGGTTATTTAAGAGAGACTGGCAGTGCCTGCCCTCTCTCATCATGTGACATGCCTGCTCCCTGTTCACCTTCTGTCATGAGTGAAAGCTTCCTGAGGCCTCCCCAGGAGCCAAGCAGATGTCGGTACCATCCTTGTACAGCCTGCAGAACTGTGAGCCAAATAAACTTCATAAATGACCATCTCAGATATCCTTTTACAGCAATGCAAATGGACTGATACATGAATTAGGCTGCTGTAAATATTCCTGTGCAAGCATAAACGGATGCTTTCTTTTTTTTTTTTTTTTTTTTTTTTTTTTGTCTTGGCTTTACACCTACGAGTGGAATTGCTGGGGCTGTGGTAACTATGTTTAGTCATCTGAAGAACTGCTAGACTGTTTTACCAGCAGTGTGTAAGGTTTCAGATCTCTCTACGTCCTCAATAACATTTATAATCTGAGTTTTATTTTAGCCATGTTAGTGGGTATAAAGTGATTTCTCATTGTGCTTTTCGTTATTTCCCTGATAATTATTGGCTTTCAGCATTTTTCACGTTGGCCATTTTCATGTCTTTTGGAAGAAGGTCTTTTTTTACGATTCAGGGAGTACGTTAGATGCGGGTTTGTTACATGGGTATATTGTATAATGCTGAGGTTTGGGCTTCCAATGAACCTATTACCTACATAATGAACGTAGTATCCAGTGGTAGTTTTTCACCCCTTGTCTCCCACCTTCCCCGCTTTTGGAATCCCCACTGTCTGTCACTTCCATCTTTATGTCCATGTGTACCCATCCATTTTTTATCCCTCATAAGTGAGAACATGTGGTATTTCACTTTCAGTTTCTGAATTATTTCACTTAGGATAATGAAATATCTAGTTCCATTTATCTTGCTGCAAAGGGGTGTGTGTGTGTGTGTGTGTGTGTGTGCGCACGTGCGCACTGGGTAATTTATAAGAAAAGGGGCCGGGTGCAGTGGCTCATGCCTATAATCCCAGCACTTTGGGAGGCCAAGGCAGGTGGATCACAAGGTCAAGAGATCGAGACCATCCTGGTCAACAAGGTGAAACCCTGTCTCTACTAAAAACACAAAAATTAGCTGGGCATGGTGATGCTTGTAGTCCCAGCTACTCAGGAGGCTGAGGCAGGAGAATTGCTTGAACCCAGAAGGTGGAGGTTGCGGTGAGCCGAGATGGTGCCATTGCACTCCAGTCTGGGTAACAACAGTGAAACTCCGTCTCAAAAAAAAAAAAAAAAGTTTAATTGGCATGTAGTTCTGCAGGCTGTACAGGATACATAGTGGTATCTGTTTCCGGGGAGGCCTCAGGAGGCTCCCAATTGTGGTAGAGAGCAAAGGGAGAACAGGAATTTCACATGGTGCAACAGGAGCAAGAGACAGAGTATGTAGAGTGGGGGATACCACACATTTTTAAATGACCAAATCTTGGGAGAACTCACTGCCTCAAAGATAGTATCAAATCATGAGGGGTCCATCCCCATGATCCAAACATCTCCCACCAGGCCCTCCAGCACTGGGGATTACAATTCAACATGAGATTTGAGTGGGGACAAATACCAGATTATATCATGCTGCTATAAAAGAATAATGCAAACTGAGTAATTTATAAAGAACAGAACTTTATGTGGTTCATGGTTCTGGAGGTTGAGAAGTCCAAGAGCATGGCACCAACATCTGGTGAGGGTCATCCTATAGCAGAAGGCATCACACAGTGAGATAGCATGCACAAGATAGAGAAAATGAGGCCAAACGTATTTTATCAGGGGCCCACCCTGCAGAATCGAAATCATCCCATGTTAACAGTATTAATGATAGAGAAAACCTCATGGTCTAAATGCCTCTTAAAGATCCTACCTCTTGGGCCAGGCGCGGTGGCTCAAGCCTGTAATCCCAGCACTTTGGGAGGCGGGTGGATCACGAGGTCAAGAGATCGAGGCCATCCTGGTCAACATGATGAAACCCCGTCTCTACTAAAAATACAAAAAACTAGCTGGGCATGGTGGTGTGTGCCTGTTATCCCAGCTACTCAGGAGGCTGAGGCGGGAGAATTGCTTGAACCCAGGAGGCGGAGGTTGCAGTGAGCCGAGATTGCGCCATTGCACTCCAGCCTGGGTAACGAGCAAAACTCCGTCTCAAAAAAAAAAAAAAAAAAAAAAAAAGCCCTACCTCTTAATACTGTTGCAATGCAGTTACATTTCAACATGAGTTTAGGAGGTGACATTCAAACTATAGCATGGTGTGAAGTGTCAACTTTATTTTGCATGTGGCTATCCATTTATCCCAGCACCATTTGTTGAAAAGACTATTCTCTCTCCCACCTTTGAATGGTCTTGACACCCTCGTCAAACATCAGTTGACCATAGATGTGTGGATCTACTTCTTGGCTTTCACTTCTATTCCATTTATGTTGATCCTTCTGCCAGTAGCACACTATTCCTTGATTGCTGTTGCTGTGTAGTAAATACTGAAATTGAGAGGTATTTTTATTTAGTTAGGATTCTGCTAGGAATTGGGCTGGATCTTTAGATCTTGAGAATTCATGGTCTTACGATCCATGAACATGGGATACTTTTCCATTTATTAGATATTCCTTAATTCTTTCAGCGATGTTTTAGTTTCCCAAGTATTAGTTTTGAACTACTTTTGTTAAGTTTATTCCTGAGTGTTTTATTCTTTTTAATGTCATTTTGAATGGAATTATTTGCTTATTTTTTAATTTTATTTTTAGAAACAGGGCCTTGCTGTGTTGGCCAGGGTGGCCTCAGACTCCTGGGCTCAAGCAGTCCTTCTGTTTCAGCCACCTGAGTAGCTGGGACTACAGGTGTGCACCACCATGCCTGGCTCCTGGAATTTTCATAATCTCAATTTTGGATTTCTCATTGCAAGTTTACAGAAAACAATTGATTTTTATATATAGATTTTGAATCCTGCAACCTTGCTGAACTATTATATAATGTGTCTGTGGGTCTATTTTTCTTTTTCTTTTTTCTTTTTTTTATTGAAACAGAGTCTTGCTCTGTCACCTAGGCTGGAGTGCAGTGGCATGATCTCGTTTCACTGCAACCTCTGCCTCCCAGGTTCAAGCAGTTCACCCTGCCTCAGCCTCCTGAGTAGCCTAGATTACAGGGGCCCACCACCACACCCAGCTAATTTTTGGATTTTTTAAGTTTTCAGTCATTACTGTTTCATATATTTTTCTTTCTCCTTTTTCTTTTCTCTCCTTCACTATTCCCCTTATGTGTATGTGGGTATACTTAATAGTGTTCACATTCTCTAGAGTTTCTGTTCATGTTTCCTTTTTTTCTGTTATTCAGTTTGTATAATTTCTATCAATCTCTATCTAATCGCTATCAAGTTCACTAATCCTTTTTTCACCCATCGAAATCTATTGGCCAGGCCCGGCGCGGTGGTTCATGCCTGCAATCCCAGCACTTTGGGAGGCTGAGGTGGGCAGATCACCCAAGGTTGGGAGTTAAGACCAGCCTAACCAACATGGAGAAACCCCGTCTCTACTAAAAGTACAAAATTAGCTGGGCATGATTACATGCCTGTAATCCCAGCTACTCGGGAGGCTGAGGCAGGAGAATCGCTTGAAGCTGGGAGGTGGAGGTTGCACTGAGCTGAGATCATGCCATTGCACTGGGCAATAAGAGCAAAACCCGACTCAAAAAAAAAAGTGTTCAGCCCTCTTGTGAATGTTTCTATTTCAGATATTTTACTTTTCAACTCCATAATTTGTATTTAAAAAAATGTATATCCAGCCTGGGTAACATGGTGAGACCCCATCTCTACAAAAAATTTTAAAAATAGCTGGGTGTGGTGGCACATACCTCAACTACTCAGGAGGCTGAAGCGGGAGGACCACCTGAGCCCCAGAGGTGGAGGCTGCAGTGAGCCACAGTCACACCACTGCACTCTGGCTGGGGCGACAGAATGAGAACCTGTCTCAAAATTTTTTGGATTAAAATGTCTAATGATAGTCTCTATTTGATGGGTCATCACCATACACCTTCTATTACTTCTTTAATCATGCTTTCCCTGTTAAAATCAAAATCTTGTTGGTTAGGCAGGTTCTGTTCCTGCTTTGTTTTTCTAGTATACAAGTCATACTTCCTTTGCTAATCATTTGTTGAAAAGTGAACTTTTTTCTTTTCTTTTGAGATGGAGTCTCTGTCGCCAGGCTGAAGTGCAGTGGTGCCATCTTGGCTCACTGCAACCTCCACCTCCCGGGTTCAAGTGATTCTCCTGTCTCAGCCTCCTGAGTAACTGGGCCTACAGGTGTGTGCCACAAAGCCTAGCTAATTTTTGTATTCTTAATAGAGACAGATTTCACCCTATTGTCCAGGATGGTCTCGATATCCTGACCTCAAGATCGCGAACCTTGGCCTTCCAAAGTGCTGGCATTACAGGCATAAACCACCACGCCCAGCTGAAAAGTGGACATTTTAATACCATTAAATAAATAAATGAACAGTACCCAATAGCAACTCGGTATAGCTCCAATCCCCCTCCCTTCTGGGGCTTGTACTGCTGTTTGTTTATTTGTTTAGTGACTAGTTGGATTGTTTTGGTGAGGTCTGTCCCTCTCCCCTGCAGTGTTCAGCCTCTGATGATCCTCTTCAGGGAGGTGCAGCTATGGGTATGCCCACAGTCACCCTGGAATGACAGTGGTTCTGGTAAGGCTCTCTTGCTCTCTTTTCCTAACCACACCCAGCTGTTAAACTCCACTAATTGCCACCCCTAAGCTCCACTGATTGCTCGTTTTCAACAATACTCTGGACACAGATTCCTCAGCGAACTAATCAAAATTGTGGCCCCTTAGATAAAATAGTTTCAGAAGTCAGTGTTTTATATTGTCTTCAATCCCAGTAGGTTTCCACCCAGCTGTCTTACTACCGCATTTTCTCTTGCAAACTAGCCAACCTGCAGCCTAGGCTGTATCTTCATTAGGTCAATGAATCTCCTTCCAGTTGCCTTTCACCATAACCTCTACTGCTCTTGAGAATACCCTTGGGTTTAAACTTCCTGGTATTCCCTTGCAAGTAAGGTCAGTTTCTATGGGAAGAGATCTTGGGCTGTTTCTTCCCTCCAGGCAAAATCTCTGAGCTCAGTGGCAAAATTCTGAGTCATACTCACTCTAGGAGCTGAGCAGCCTGGGAGGCAGGCAAGAGCCTCTCCTGGTATGGAACTCTCACCTCATAAGCTACAAGAAGGGCTATCAGGACCCCAGTATTCTCAACATCTCATATCCAAGGTAGAGCCTGCTTTCCACAAATAGGGGCTAAGTGGAAGAAGGGAACCCCACCTCAACCAGACTCACCCAGGACTCACTCCCACAACAGGCGCCTGGGAGGGGGATGAGATACACTGAAGTACTCCCTCCTCCCAGGAAGAAAGCCCTCCCGCCGGGAGATGGGAGAAGAGAAGCCTGTGCTTGGTGATGCCAGTCTGGTGTGGAGTCCACCTCCCTTTGCTGGAGTGAGTTGTCTTGGTTCAAATACCACAATTCTTGCCTTTCTTACTAAATTCTCATAGATTTTCTTGAATAGATGTATGTTTCTTTTTTTTCCTTTTCTTCCCTTCTCTTTTTCTTTCCCTTTGTTTTCTTTCTCCTTCCTTCTCTATCCTTCCTTCCTTCCTCTTTCTTTCTCTTTCTTTTTTTCTTTCTCTCTCTGTCTCCTTTCCTTTCCTTTCTTTCACAGTCTCATTCCATCACCCAGGCTGATCTCGGCTCATTGCAACCTCTGCCTCCTGGGTTCAAGCGATTCTCCTGCCTTAGCCTCCCTAGTAGCTAGGATTACAGGTATGTGCCACCATACCCAACTAATTTTTGTATTTTTTTTTAGTAGAGATGGGTTTTCACCATGTTTGCCAGGCTGCTCTCAAACTCCTGATCTCAAGTGATCCGCCCACCTCAGCCTCCCAAAATGCTGGGAATACAGGCATGAGCCACCACACCTGGCCTTGAATAGATGTTTGTTTTTTGCTGTTTGCCCTTCAGGCCATTTCTAGAAGCTTTAATTTGTTCTCTTTCATTTTTATTTTGTTGGCCCCTTTCAACTCAGCTTTATTTTTTCTAAATAATTTTTACCAGGCTGGGTGTGGTGGCTCACACCTGTAATCCCAGCACTTTGTGAGGCCAAACTGGGCAGATAATGAAGTCAGGAGTTTGAGACCAACATGGTGAAACCCTGCCTCTACTAAAACTACAAAAACTAGCTGAGCGTGGTGGCATGCGCCTGTAATTCCAGCTACTCAGGAGGCTGAGGCAGGAGAATCACTTGAACCCAGAAGACGGAGGTTGCAGTGAGCCAAGATCACCCCACTGCACTCCATCCTGGGTGAAACAGCGAAACTTCCATCTCAAATTAAAAAAAAAAAAAAAAAAAATAGAGCTGGGCACAGTGGCTCACACCAGTAATCCCAGCACTTTGGGAAGCTGGTGGATCACCTGAGGTCAGGAGTTCAAGACCAGCCTGGCCAACATAGTGAAACCCTGTCTCTACTAAAAATACAAAAATTAGCTGGCTGTGGTTGCCTGCATGAGAGCTACTGGTCTGCAGTTTTTGTTTTGGGGCGCTTTGGGGGTGTTGGCACTTTGTTAGTTTTGATATCAGGATATTTCTTGCCTTATAAGATGCATTAAGAAGTGTCCGCTTCTCTTTTGTTTTCTGAAAGAGATTGTTTAAAGTTGGTGTTAATTCTAATGGTGTGGTTGGTGATTCTGGTTCCTGGGCTAGAGCAGGCAGCCAGGTGTGTAACACTGAGCCTTGAGGCAGGTCTGGGGGAGTCAGAGGGCAGTCCCTTATTTCATGAGCTTGAAGTTAGAACCCACAGAAGACTGAGGATGTTGAAAGCTCCCTTCCTGCCTGTGACAATGGCTACTCTGATTCCCCCACCCCACTTAGGGGTGATGACAATGTCTCATTCATCTGTCTCCCTGGTGCCTGGCACCGGGGAGGAGGGGTGCTCAGTGAATCCGGGTGGCACAGCAGCCTGTGTGGAAGCGAGAGGCATTTCAGGAAATTCATGGGGCCGGCTTCCTCCTGGGAGGTGTGGCAGAGGGTGCTGCCAGGAACGGAGAAAAGCACTGCCTTCCCTTTTCCTTCTACTGCCTAGAGAAGTGTGGGAGTGGATGGGAGGTGAAGGGACAGATCACCGAGTTGCCAAGAGACCTGGAGACTGGCCCATTCGGGCCACCTTCCCTAGTGCGCTCTAGCCGGCTCCATCCCTGGTTGGCATGGAGACAGGAGGCGGTTGCCACGGAGACCGACGACTGCCAGGATCAGCCAATCACTCTGGAGCTGCAGCTCCAGCTCACCTTTTGGATGGAGGCATCGGGCTCGGCGGGGCCCCCTCCCTCCCCAGGCCCTGCACTCTCTGCTCGGTCAGCCAGGAAGGAGGCTGCGCCACCACCCCCACCCAAAGCGCTCCGAGCATCCCAGTATCCCAACCACCTCCCCAGTCTCCCACAACTAGGGTTCTAGGGACGTCCCCGCCTCTTCCCGGCCACGGGCTGATGCCACCCTGGGGCAGCCTAGCTTCCAATTGGCCCTGAAACCCTCCCTGGTAAAGGGGGGGAATGCTGTGGAAAGGGCGGGACCAGGCGCAGGCACCCACCCCCGCTCTCCCTCGAAACAGCACACAGCAAGAGGAAGGCCACAGCCGGGTGGAGCGGGGGTGGGAAGGGAGCACCCCCCCCCCACGCCCTCCGCAGTGCCTGGCGAGCCCGCGCACGCTCACTCACGGGGACAGGCGGGCGGGGTGGCCTGACGTCACCCACTGCCCCCACCGCCCGGCCAAGGGGCGGTGGCCGCGCAGACTCGGCGGGGCGACAGTACGGACTGACGGAGGGTCAGAGGGACTGAGGGACTGGTGAGCACACGGCCAGGCCATGCCTGGGGAGGCTGCCCGCGCTGAGCTGCTGCTGCCCGAGGGGGACGGACCTGGGCCCCGCACAGGTGAGGTCATGACCACTCATTCCCTCCTTCCAGCCGCTCGCTCCCATCTCCAGCCTGGGTTCTTTCTCCATCACTCACCTTTCCTAGCCTTCTCCCGTCCCCATCCTCCGGACACCCCTCGAGTCCACTCCCCTTTCCGCGCCCTGCCCTTCTCTCCACCTAAACCCTGCCCCCACCTCTCAGAATTGCCGGGAAGGTGGGGCACACGGAGTGCCCTCAGCGAGCCAGAAAGGACGTGGGGCTTAAGCCCTTGGCCTCCGACCCACGGGTGGTGGGGCTCACATCCTGCCTGCTGCATCCCGTTGTCTGCACAGACAGAGCTGCCAGCCCGCCGGGGCTGGGCTGCTCTGGACAGGGGCAATGGGTTCCGGAGGTGGGGTGTCCAGCACGTACCCCAGTATGATTAGGTGACCACCGGGAGGGTCCTCAGCTGCACCCGGGCTGTTCTGGGCCTGGGGACTGGTCATGGCTCTGGAGGGAGGAGCAGGACCGGCCAGAGCCTGGGAAGCCCGGAAAGCCGTCCAGGTTGTGGAAGAAAGGCTAAGTTGGGTCTGGAAGGTGGAAGGCCTTGGGGGAGGTGGCCTGATCAGCAGTGGCCCTGGGTGTGCAGACCACCTGGGTGTGCAGTCCTTAGAGAAGCTGGGTCAACAATTACTGGTGGAGGCTGATGGAGTCTACCTGGGCCTAGAAAGAGCCAACTCTGGACGGTCCTGGCATAGAGGTCAGCCATGTGTGGGTAGGGCCAAGGGCACCTTGCTGTGGGTGAAAAGTCACATAGAGACGGGACCAGTGCTGGGTCCTGGGGCCTGGTCTAGGGGTGACACAGGCTGTTGCCTCTGCTCTAAGTGGCAAGCAGGCAGTGCAGGCCTGGACTTCCCAGCCTCAGGGTCTTGTGCTGGCTCTTTTCTGGCTTCCTTGGTGACCTTGAATGAGTTATAAAAAAAACTTTGGCCTTTGGTTTCTGTTCCATTCCAACAGCTCAGCTGTTCCCCTGCCCTGGGGGACACACCATGGGCCAGAGCCAAGAGACCAGCTTCAGGGCACCCAGTGATGCCCCGCCAGCCACGCCCACTCCTGGTGTTGGGTGTCAGGCATGTGGGAACCCAAAGGACCCCCTTCTTTTCAGGACCCCCTGGCTGTCCCATTACCCCAGCAGCAAAGCCCTCAAGTGACGAGTTTTAGTGGGTGGCCCAGGGCTCAGGGGTCTGATGCTGCTGAGGGGACGGGGAGCAGCTTGGCAAGAGGGCCCCTTCTTTCAGCTTCACCTCTAATCCTGGCTCTGCTTTGCAGATGAGAAGGCTGAGGTACAGGAGATGTTGTCCCGGTCACCGGTGAGCGCTAGTAGAGCAGGGGCCACTGGGCAGGCATCTGCAGCCTGGAGAGTTGGCCCCTGTGTGCCACCCCTCCCCCACCTTGGGCAAGACCTGGCCTGGGCACTGAAGGGCCTTCACTGGATGCTTCAAACAGAGGTGCCTTTGGCCTGGGTCCAAGTGAGGGAGTGGACATAATGGAGACATTTTAAATGAGGCTTATGAGCATTTAGAGCACACAGAAAATTCTTATGAGATTAGTTGAGTGAAAACAGCTAGATTCAAAACTGAATGTGCAATGTGATCTCACCTATGATAAAATACAGGCCAGTAAGAATCCAGGAGGCAGAAAACCATAGTGGTGTGGTGAGCCGCAACCTCGGAGAGGGTTCTTCTATCTTCCTGAGTCCCCTAAGTCCTTCCTGACTCATGTGTGCTACTTGCTACGGGCATGGACTCTTCTCAGCTGGAGGTGTGTGAGCCCACAGATACCTACTGAGGACTGCAGCCTCCTCATGGGTGTACCATGGGACCCAGAGAAGGCCCATAGGGTAGGGTGGGAGCTCCCAGCACCTGGGAAGGAACTGGTGCTCACCCGTGGCATGGCTGCCACCAAGGAGAGGACTCGGCCAGAGGCTGCTGCTGACCCTCTGAAGCTGTCCTGTGCTCTTGCTGGGCTCCATCGTCACCGCTCCTGCGCACCACTGCCCTTCTGGCCAAATGCTCCCACACAGCCTCTGCGGGACACTTCATCTCTGTTCTCCAGAAGTTTGGCTGTGTGTGGCAGCCCTGGCTTCCCGATCTCCCCAGCCACAGTAGGGGAACAGGGTTGGAGGGGCCTGGTGAAACCCTGATATGTTGGCCTCGAGTGTAGGTAGCAAGGACAGCAGAGAGAGGAGGCAGAGTGAGGATGAGGCCTACAGCGTTTGAGCTGTGTGCGGGTGCTGCTTGCCTCATGTGGCTCATCTATTGGGAGGTCCTGGGAAGGGGCAGGTGCCACCCGGCAGATTCCCACTGCCAGCCCCTCCCACCGAGCCCAGCTGAGCCGCACTGATTCTGTGGAATGGAAACTGCAATCCAGTCTCCCCAGAGAGGCTGAAATGCTGGTTCTTTGCTGAGGTGTCCTTGAGAAAAGCCGCCAAGCAGGTCTCCGCCAGGCAGGTCTGTTCATGTCTCCTACCAACACTTCCCTCAAAACCCCCCTCTAGGAAACTGACAGCTCTCTGCTGTCAGAACTCCTGGAAGTTCTCCCTCAAATGCAGCGCAAACAGCGTCTTCCCTTTTCTTTCTGCCTTCCTGGATCTGCCTTCCTGGATCCTTTCTGCCTTCCTGGATCTGCCCTCCTCTGGGCTCTTTGTAGAGTGAATTCATCTCCCTGGGCCTGGCCCTTGCCTGGGAGATGCATCCAAGGGCACCTCACGATCTTCTCTATCTCCACAGATCTGTCCTGCGATGCAGCTGCTGCTACCTCCATCCTGGGAGGGGACCGGCGGGAACCCTGTGCTCTGACCCCAGGGCCCAGCCACCTGGCCCTCACATTTCTGCCTAGCAAGCCAGGTGCCCGGCCCCAGCCCGAGGGAGCCAGCTGGGATGCAGGGCCTGGTGGGGCATCCTCAGCCTGGGCGGACCCAGCGGAGGGCAGCCTGAGCCCCAAGCTCCTCCCTGAGGGCCTGTCCCAGGTTCTGCCCACTGAGACTCCTCTCCCGGCCACCCTGGAGCCCCGGATTGTGATGGGAGAGGAGACATGCCAGGCCCTCCTGTCACCCAGGGCTGCCCGGACAGCGCTCAGGGACCAGGAGGGTGGGCACGAAAGCCTGGACCCACCCCCCGAGCTGTGTTCTCAGGGTGATCTTTCTGTGCCTTTCCCTCCCCCAGACCCTGACTCCTTCTTCACGCCTCCCTCCACCCCCACCAAGACCATCTATGCCCTGCTACCTGGCTCTGGTCCCCTTGGGGACGTCCAGGACTCAGAGGCTGAGATGCAGGATGAGCTGCTGGACTCATCCCCTGCCTCGCCCTCAGGCTCCTACATTACAGCTGATGGGAACAGCTGGGCCTCTTCACCCTCCTGTTCCCTCAGCCTGCTGGCTCCGGATGAAGGGCTGGACTTCCCCTCAGGCTGGGGCCTGTCCCCCCAGGGGTCCATGGCAGACGAACGAGAGCTGCACCCTGCCGGGACCCCAGAGTCCCAATCCTCTGAGTCTAGCCTCTCCACAGACAGCAGCTCCTCCTGGGGCCAGGAGGGTCACTTCTTCGACCTGGACTTCCTGGCCAATGACCCGATGATCCCCGCAACCCTCCTACCCTTCCAGGGCAGCCTCATCTTCCAGGTGGAGGCAGTGGAGGTGACACCACTATCCCCAGAGGAAGAAGAAGAGGAGGTTGAGGCAGCTCCCAGCCCAGGTGGGGACCTGGCGGGGGACGGTGAGGAGGACAGCACTTCTGCCTCCTTTCTCCAGTCACTGTCTGACCTGTCCATCACGGAGGGCATGGATGAGGCCTTCGCCTTCCGGGACGACACCTCTGCAGCCTCCTGGGACTCAGACTCAGCCTCCTATGCAGAGGCGGATGATGAGAGGCTGTACAGCGGGGAGCCCCACGCCCAGCCCACCCTGCTCCAGGACAGTGTCCAGAAGACAGAAGAGGAGAGTGGAGGCGGGGCCCAGGGGCTGCAGGCTCTGGAAGGGACTGAGTTCTGGGCCTTGGAGGCTGTTTCTCAGACCTCAGACAGAGGGGCCCATCTCTCCCAGAGACAGGAATCAATCTCGGAAGTAACAGAAGAGGGCCTTGCTTTAGGCCAACAGTCCACTGCCACTGTGACCCCTCACACTCTGCAGGTAGCCCTAGGCCTCCAGGTGGAGGTGGCTACCAGGATGATCCCTCAGGCTGGGGAGGAAGAAGTGGACTCCACCACTGGACAAGCACCTGCTGCCATGGCAATGCCTCAGCCCTCCCAGGAGGGCATCAGCGAGATCTTAGGCCAAGAGTCTGTCACTGCAGAAAAACTTCCAACTCCACAGGAAGCAGCAAGCCTCACATTGTGTCCAGACTCTCCTCAGAACTTGAAGGAAGGAGGAGGGCTGGACCTCCTGTCAGGCCCAAAGCCTGTGGCTACAGCCACACTTGTACCCCAGCAGGCTGAAGAGGGCCTCACCTTACCCCAGGACTCCGCTGTGACACCACCTCTGCCCCCACAAGACACAGACCTCCCGTCAGGCCCAGAGCCTGTGGCTGTAGCCACGCTTGTTCCCCAGCAGGCTGAAGAGGGCCTCACCTTACCCCAGGACTCCGCTGTGACACCACCTCTGCCCCCACAAGACACAGACCTCCCATCAGGCCCAGAGCCTGTGGCTGCAGCCACGCTTGTGCCCCAGCAGGCTGAAGAGGGCCTCACCTTACCCCAGGACTCTGCTGTGCCCCCAGCCATGCCTGTGCCCCAGCAGGCTGAAGAGGGCCTCACCTTACCCCAGGACTCTGCTGTGCCCCCAGCCCCGCCTGTGCCCCAGCAGGCTGAAGAGGGCCTCACCTTACCCCAGGACTCTGCTGTGTCCCCAGCCACGCCTGTGCCCCAGCAGGCTGAAGAGGGCCTCACCTTACCCCAGGACTCTGCTGTGCCCCCAGCCCCGCCTGTGCCCCAGCAGGCTGAAGAGGGCCTCACCTTACCCCAGGACTCTGCTGTGCCCCCAGCCCCGCCTGTGCCCCAGCAGGCTGAAGAGGGCCTCACCTTACCCCAGGACTCTGCTGTGCCCCCAGCCACGCCTGTGCCCCAGCAGGCTGAAGAGGGCCTCACCTTACCCCAGGACTCTGCTGTGCCCCCAGCCACGCTTGTGCCCCAGCAGGCTGAAGACAGCCTCACCTTACCCCAGGGCTCTGCTGTGCTACCACCTCTGCCGCCACAAGACACAGACCTCCCATCAGGCCCAGAGCCTGTGGCTGCAGCCATGCTTGTGCCCCAGCAGGCTGAAGAGGGCTTCACCTTACCCCAGGACTCTGCTATGACAGCACCTTTGCCTCTACAAGACACAGGCCCCACCTCAGTTCCAGAGCTTCTGGCTGTGGCCACCCCTCAGACCTTGCAGGCAGAAGGAGACTGTGCCCCAGGGACAGAGTCCGTGGCCTCCATGGCTCAGCAGGAAGTAGGTGCAGCCTTAGGCCCCAGGCCAGCACCTGAGGAGAACGTAGCCCTCCCTAGAGTCCCAGAGCCTGTAGCCTTAGACCAGGTCCAACAGGATGACACACAGCCAGCTGCAGAAGCTGGGACACCTTGGGCTGCACTGGAAGATGTGGGTCCCACTTTGGGCCTGGAGGCCCCCCATCTTCCTGAGCCTGCCTCTGGTGTGGGGGAGGAAGAAGTAGCAGAAGCCCTTTCTATGCCCAAATGGGAAGCATGTCTGGGAGCCCGAGCGAACACAGGTGATGGGGACTTGGCCTCAAAGGAGATCCTGGAGGTTGAGAACCAGCAGGGAGGAGGCCTCAAGCCACCGGCACGGGAATGTGAACCTGGGTCAGCCCTGGGAGGTACAGGGGAGGTCCCCAAGGTGGCTCCTGCTGCCTGCCCTGAGGTTGGCCAGGCCCGGCTCCTGAGCCCAACCAGGGAGGGAAGAGGCCCGAGTGTCAAGTCCAACCTGGAGCCCAGGCTTCCCTCAGCTGTGGCCACAGAGGCCTGTCTGGACTCATGCCCAGAGTCTTCAGCAGGGGCTGTGTCCAGGCTGGACAGAGGCTGCCCTGAAGCGCCTGCCCCCACATCTGTACCAACCTTCCAGCAGCCGGAGCCTGTGCTGGGCCTGGGCAGTGTTGAGCAACCCCAGGAAGCACCTAGTGTCCTTGGCCCCCACTTGCTACAGCTCCCAGAAAACCTTGCAAAGGGTCTGCCCAGCGTACCCCTGGACGGGCTCCTGGGCCCTGACCCTTCTGTTCCTGGTGTCCTTGCTGAGGCAGCCCTACCCCCACTGGACCCCCCAGCCCCCTGCCTGTGCCAGGACCTCCAGGAAGACTCCGTGGAAGACAAGGAGCCCCCAGGATCTCGGGGCCGCCTATCGCCCCAGGCAGGAGCTCAGCCTGCCACTGTTGCTGTCTCAGGAACCACACAGCCTCTGGGGATTGGGCTGGGAGTCAGCCTCTCGCCTCACTCCCCACTCCTCAGCCCCAAGGTGGCCCCCACGGATGCCAAAGACCTGGCCTTGCAGATCTCGCTCCCTTGCCAAGTGCCTCCCCGCTCTGGGCCCCAGAGCCTAACTGGCCCTCAAGGGCTCTCAGCCCCCGAGCAGCAAGAGGACGAGGACAGCCTAGAGGAAGGTAAGGGGGAGGGTGGGAGTTAAGTGCCCTGGGGTTTGGGTCAACTGGACTCCTCCTCAGAGCTGCCCTGTCCTGGAGGGCCTCTGAGGTAGTGGGCCCAAAACCCATGCATGGCCATCATGGAGAGCTGGCACTGCTTCCTCTGGCCCTGACGTGGCAGCAGGGCCAGGGGCCTAACCCCTCTGCCCCCCAACTAGAAGCAAGAGGTCATCCTCACACCTCTCCCCTTCTCCAGACTCACCTCGGGTCCTGGGCTCAAACCAGCATTCGGATAGCCACGGGGAGTCGTCAGCAGAGCTGGATGAGCAGGACATCTTGGCTCCTCAAACCGCACAGTGTCCAGTCCAGGTGCCCAGTCCAGGGAAGAGGGTGGGCCTCTGGGAGGGCCCCACACCCCACCCATGGATGCTCAGCCCTCACCTTTTCTCAGGCCCCAGCAGGCGGCAGTGAGGAGACCATCGCCAAAGCCAAGCAGAGTCGAAGTGAGAAGAAGGCCCGAAAGGTGGGCTGGTGTTTCCCCCTGGGACCACCTGTGTAGGAAGCGTCCTTACCAAGACCCTCACACTCCACGGCTAATGAAATCCCATCCATCAGGGGTCCTTTGGGTCAATGCCAGTAACCCACACACCTTCCCCTAAACAGCTGAGGCTGGGATGTCATGAGGGCCCTTATAGACTGAGGCTCATGGGGAGGGACCAACCACCAGCCCAAGGTCTCGGGGAAGTTGGTGGTGGAGACTTTGCCTTCCTGCACGTTGTGCTGCTCTCCTCCCGTGACACGGGCTGACACCAGTCTGAGCCCCGCTCTGCCCTCTCCTCCAGGCAATGTCAAAGCTGGGCTTGAGGCAGATTCAGGGAGTCACCAGGATCACCATCCAGAAGTCCAAGAACATCCTCTTTGTCATCGCTAAGCCTGATGTCTTCAAGAGCCCAGCCTCAGACACTTACGTGGTCTTTGGTGAGGCCAAGGTTTGTGGTGGAAGCTGTGGTGGAATAGGGGTTCCGAGGCACGGGGGACAAGGAGGGTGCAGGCTCTGACACAGCTGTCTTCCATGTTGCAGATTGAGGATCTGTCCCAGCAAGTGCACAAGGCTGCAGCTGAGAAGTTCAAGGTGCCCTCAGAGCCCTCGGCCTTGGTCCCTGAGTCAGCACCCAGGCCCCGGGTGAGGCTGGAGTGCAAGGAAGAGGAGGAGGAGGAGGAAGAGGTGAGGTGTAGGGGCTCCAGGACCTTGCATGGGGTGGTGAGATGCACTATACGGGGGCTCTACCCCAGGGACCGCAATCAGCTCCAGCCACTTCCCTGCTCCCCCAACCCCAGGTGGACGAGGCGGGGCTGGAACTGCGTGACATTGAGCTGGTGATGGCGCAGGCCAATGTGTCCCGGGCCAAGGCTGTGCGGGCTCTGAGAGACAACCACAGTGACATCGTCAATGCCATCATGGTGAGCAAGCACCGGCCCCTTTCCCTGCCCCTGAGCTGTCCCCAGGGGCCTCAGAGGAGTCTCGCTGTTGGCTCCACTAGGGGGGGTACTTCCACCAACATGACTGTCTCTTTCTGCAGGAACTGACCATGTAGCCACTGACTAGAAGCCGGAGCCATCCTGGGCCTTCCCTTAGCTCTGCTACTCAATAAATCAGTGTCCCTTCATTGCCCTATGGTGTCTCCTCCTCGCCTTCTGGAGTCCCATCATCACCCCCTAGCATCCCTTCGTTTCCCTCTGATGTCCCCTCGCCGCCCTCTGATATCCCTTCATTACTCTGTGGTGTCCCCTCATTGCTGTGGTGTCTCCTCATTACTCTCTGGTGTCTCATTACTCTCATGTCCCCTCATCACTCCCTGATGTCCCCCCATCGCCCTCTGGATGTCCCCTCACCACCCTCTGGTGTCCCCTCTTTACTCCCTGGTGTCCCCTCCATCACTCTCTGGGTGTCCCCTCACCACCCTTTGGTGTCCCCATTACTCCCTGGTGTCCCCTCCATCACTCTCTGGGTGTCCCCTCACCACCCTTTGGTGTCCCCATTACTCCCTGGTGTCCCCTCACTCTGGGTGTCCCCTCATCTGCTCCATGTCCTCTACTCTTTCTGCTGGCAAAAACCAGTGACCACAGCATGGGGATCACATCTGGGATGGGTGCTGGAGGGGCAGGTGAGTGGTTCCTGTGATGCTCTACACAGAAAGCCCATGCAAGGCCATGTTCAACCCATGGGCTGGAAGGGGGACACTGGCGCTTCTGGCACAGGGTAGGTTCTGGTGGGGGTCAGGAGCCCAGGACTGTGTGGTTCATCCTCAGCCTCTCTATGCTTCCAGGGCACGTCCATTTTCATATAAACCTAGAGACAGCGTCAGTAGTAAATGGCCTGCCACCTGCCCCAGCCTGGCCTGGTCCCGTGAGTATAAACAAACAGCTCTATCTACAACAGCCTAGTACAGCGGGAAACTCACCCATAAAAGTGACCAGGGCCGGGCACAGTGGCTCATGCCTGTAATCCCAGCACTTGGGGAGGCTGAGGCGGGTAGATCACAAGGTCAGGAGTTTAAGACCTGCATGGCCAATATGGTGAAACCCTGTCTCTACTAAAAATAATACAAAAATTAGCCAGGCGTGGTGGTGGGCGCCTGTAGTGCCAGCCTCTCAGGAGGCTGAGGCAGGAGAATCACTTGAACCCAGCAGGCAGAGGTTGCAGTGAGCTGAACCTGTACTCCACCACTGTACTCCACCCTGGGCAACAGAGTGAGACTCTATCTCAAAAACAAACAAAAAACACTGACCAGGCCCTTTCCTGTCCAGAAGCTGTGGTACCGCACAAACCCGTCCACCTTATTCAAGAAGGTACCTGAATACTCTGGATCCTCTGGCTTACCCTGGACACAATCGGGGTGTCCATGGAGCCCCAGAGGCTCTCCCTTCTCCCCCGAGCCTGGGCCAGAGAAGCCCTGGGGCCTGACATGCAGCTCCTCCACCCAGTAAGGCCAGGCCCCCCAGCCTGGGCAGGAGGGAGATGTGACAGCCAATATCCTTCCCAGAGGTCTGTCCCCCGGGGGGTCTCAGCGGTAGTGTAGCTACTCTCCAGTGGAGGGAGAGGCCCAGGACAACCTGACCCAGGTCACCTCTCCTCCCCTCTCCATATCCAAGGAAGGTTTGTGAGGGCCTAAAGGATACAGGCAAGACCAAGGCCAACAGGTCTTGGGGAGAAGAGCTCATGGGACAGGGATGGAGACAGATCCACGATGAGGACACATGGAGGGTCGGCAGAGTTGCACTCTGGCCTCTCTGAAGACCCAGCCCCTGGGCTCCAAGGTGACGAGATCTCAGATAGCACTTGTGTTCTGTGGGGGAGTGCAGGCTGCTTGAGGAAAACACCTGCAGCATGGGGGTGGGAGGGGGCCTCGGGCATAGCCAGGACACAGGACGTAAAAATCAAGGTGCCCCCAACACATGCCGCACGCTACCCCACGGAAGGGCTTAGAACACTCGCTCCTGCCCCACATCCAAGCAGCCCAAGTCGAAATGAAGTCCTTCCTGTGAATAAGAGCCTGCTGCCTCCTCCGCCCCAGCCCCCGGGACCAATGTGCTGAGTCCCAGGTGTTGCAGGGCAGACAGGGAGCCAGGGACAGAGGCCAGAGCAGACACCCCTCCTGGCACCAATGGTTTTCACCCAACTGGATCAGAAACATGCTTGGCAACCAGAGATTAAATTATTCACATTGCAGTAAACTTCTTTTTAAGGTCTCTGAGAGTTACAATAGGAACATCATGTGCAAACTGACAGCTGTCCAAGGGCCCAGCCGACAGGACGCTCTCCCTGCCAGCTTGGCCAGGCGCTCCCCGAGCAGGGACAGCTGCAGGGCTCGGCTGAGCCCTGGTGGACAAGGCAAAGAGCCTTCCACCCACACTGGGGCTCATGCCCCTTGGCAGCTCCCTGCTCCTTCACAGTAGAGGACCTGGGCCACCCGAGGCTACCTATGCCTGGAGCTTCTCGCTGGCCCTGACGAAGGGCTGACACGCAGGTCTGGGTAGCTCCTTTCAGAAAGGCCTACAACGACTGTGCAGAAGGTTTGGGTGCCCCACCATCCACTGCCCATCATGCCGAGTCCTGGTCCATGCTGCAGCCCAGCGCCTCGATGTCGCTGCTGATGTCCGAGATCATGCGGTCCCACTCATCCCCCTCTGAAGGCGCTGATCGGTCATCAGAGCTGCCCGTGGCCCTGTTCCCATTGGTGGTGGAACTGGACGTGGTGCTCAGGGCCCGCCGGTGCCTGCCAAAGCTGTCGGTGATGATGCCACGGCCATCCTTCACGCCAATGGTCTCCAGGAAGTTCTCGAAGTGCTGGCTGTCCTTCTCAGGGATGAAGGGCCTCAGACCTGCAGACACACGACATCCAGCATGGCACTCCAGTTTGGCTCAGCCCACTCAGCTCCTCTCTCAGGGCTCAGAACCCTCTGGCAGGGCCACAGCTGCCCCTGGTGCATGGCCTGGGGGACCCTGATGCCATGTTCCCTGCATCTAGCATTCTGGTTGAAATAATGTTTCCTGGGTCCAGACAGTTTGGCTAAAACCTCCTCTGACAGGCACTGCTGCTGGCCCTGACAGCTTACTGCCTCTGCCACATGCACCCACCCTGGCCTCGAGGCACCAGCACAGGCCAAGAGCCTGTGGCCTCCCCTCATTCTCTACCAGTCCTCACAAAGTCCCCATTTTACAGTGGGGAAAGTGAGGCCCAGAACAGTCTTCAAGGCCGCCTACTGGCACACAGCAACAAGGCTGCAGGCCTCATACCAAAGGCCACTTTCCCTGCCATGGCCTGGCCCAGGGTGAGTGCCCCAACTCAGAGGGCCGCCCTCTTATTTGGGAAGCCTAGTGTGTCTCAGAAATGCTACTCCCCACTGTGGGTGGGCAAACAGAGCCCATGCCAGGAAGTGACGCAGGGCCCAGCACAGAAGGAGTTCCTGATCTCTGGACTGTGCTCTCATGGCCATCTCTAGTTCCAATCTCCCATCCCTGACGGAGCCCCCGCTGCACCCACTGAGGGGTCCGTGTGCACATTCCCAGGAGGGATCAGCCTCCCCAAGCCGGGTTTGGACAAGCCAGTCTCTCCGGGACCCACTCACCAAGCAGCAGGAACTTGCGGCTATCCCCGTAGAGCTGCCGCAGGTTGATGCAGAACTCGTGGATAGAGGCCCCATTGCGGTACTCGTGCAGCAGCGCCGCAAACTGCTGGATCTCCTGCGACGACAGCTTGGTGCGCAGCTGCAAGAGAGCAGAGCCAGGTGCAGGGATGGGCGCAGTGGGCAAGAGTCGGCAGTCGGGCCTACCCTACGACAGCCACTGACTCCAGCCAGAGCACCAGCTGTCTCTGGTTTCACCTTTGCATAGGCTGAGGCATCAGGATGCCCACAATGTGTCCCCATCCTGTCAGGTCCCGCACAAGGCCACCCAGAGGAAACCAAAGCACCCAGACAGCTCTACCTTCCTGAGCTGGAACACAGAGTGCATGGGAGGGACAGGAGCCAGCAGGGCAGCGTGCAAGTCGGCAACCTGGCCTGGGGCCAATGCCCATGCCCTTAGGCTACACAAAAGGAGATCAGGAACACTGAGTTTTCAATGACAGAACTATATAAGATGAGAAGGATACAAGTGTCTGGCCACGTGGCCTTGCAGTGACCACCGTTCCCTCCCCTGCCCCAGGACCCAAGCAGAGGCCCGCAGTCCCAAGCAGAGACCACAGCACCCCCAACTCAGCCCCACTGACTCATGCTCTCCTAGACTGTCCCGGGAAAAGGCAGCGATCTCAGCAAAACTGACCAAGAGTACTCTAGGTGACCTCACTCACTGCAGCCTGCCCTGCACTGCTGCTCCTCCCTTCCCCCCATCATCCCTGGGATACCCGCTCCCTCATGCAGTCCAGTGTCCCTGTGGCAGAGGCCTACTGTCAGCATGTAGTCCTGCAGCAGCTCAGTGGCGCTGGCGCTCAGCTCACTCTCACTGATGGTCTTGCTGTGGGGTGACGTGCCACCCACATCCAGGGATTCAGGGAAACAGCTGGGAAGGAATGTCGTATGTGAGCACGTGCTTCCCCGACCCTTCCATCCCACACACGTCTCAGGAAACCTGGTCTGCGCTGTGTGTGGGTCCCTGTCCTTGAACAGAGGAATGTAAGTGAGAAAGATGAGAGGAGAGCTGGCTGGGCTTGCAAGGTGGTCAGCTTGGCCTGGTCCTGGGGCTCCCTGCGGGTTGGGCTCTGAGTGAAGGGAGGGAGTACATAGGTCAAGGCGGTGGGCAGCACTGTTGGGAGTGGGGAGCAATAGGCTCAGAGGGAGGAGCTGGGGTGGCAGGTAGCAGGAAAGGAGAGCGTGTGTGGGCTGAGCTACTACACAGAGGCCCAGGCGGAGGCAGAGACAGGTCAGAAGGCCAGTGCCTCAGCAGGCGTGGGCAGGGGAACGGCTCCATCCAACATGCCTGTTAACAAGCTCATTCTTGGGAGGCCAAGGGAAAGTGGACAGGGAGAGACCAGAGGGACAGCAAGGGCTCTAGAAGTCTACAAGGAGAGGGCAGCAAGCCAAGCTTCAGCCACTCACTAAGCTTGGGACAGTGAGTCTGGGGATGGCTTAGTGAGGATGAACTAAGCTTAGGGAGCCAACTGGCTGCAGCCTGGACAACACAGAGCAATGCATTTGGTGCATGTCCCACCGCAGGGCTTGGTGGCATGTGCACTCACAAAGTGCTGGCTTCCACCTCGTAGGTCTCCTTAATGTCCACTTTTGTAGAAGAGTCATCTGCAAGGAAGATGCAAAAAACTAAGATGATTTTCGGGGACACAGTGGGGAGGCACTGCGAGTCCAGCCTACTGCTGTTTACAGGAGGCAGTGGCAGCCCCGGCAGCCCTGGCCTTCAGGGACCCTGCTGTCCTTCATCAAGCTGCCTGCACTCTGGAATATGCTGTGTGCCTCAGGGCAGGGCCCCCTTAGACTTGAGCCCACACACACAGCCCTCCTGGGGATCCTGGCAAATGCAAATCCTGCTGCAGGCTGGGCTGAAGTCCACATTCACCCATGGCCAGAGCCAACAAAAGCTGTCCTTGTATCCCTCATGTGCCAGGCAGGGTCACTGGGGCTTTGTCTCCTTTGACTCAGGCACATATCACCCCTGTCATCACTTGTAGATGAGGAAGGAAGTCAGAGAGGTCACACAACTTAGCCCAGGTCACACAGCAGAAACCACAGTCAGAGCCGGGCAGTCTGACTCCCCACCTGAACCTGCAAAGCCATAGGATTCCTGAGACCCTCAGAGCAGCAAAGGGTCTGGCACTGAGCAGCAACATTCAACAAATGACATTAGGTCTGTGTGACACATACTGTAATTTGCTATTCTAAACCTGAGGAAGGCACATTTCCACACCACCACAGGCAGCCAATGCAAGCTTTGTGAGCGAGGCAGGTGAGTGCTGTGGAGAGGGGAAGACTAAATGGGAGCAGAGGGAGACACTGGGACATAGAAGGGACATTTCTGGCACTAGCAACAAGGCAAGTATGGCGGGCAGAATAATGACCCCTGCCCCCAAAGATGTCCACATCCTAATCCCTGGAATTGGTGAATATGTTACCAATTTCAAAGGGAAGTAAAGGATGCTAATCGGCTGACCTTGAAATAGGGAGATGACCCTGGAGAATGTGGGTGGGCTCAATGTGAATGCAAGGGTCCCGAAATGCAGAGGAAGCTGAGAGTCAAAGGAAGATGTGACTGTGGAATATGTCACGTGGCTGGCTATGAAGACAGAGGAAGGGCCACGAGCCAAGGCATGTGGCTGCCTCTAGGAGCTGGAAAGACAAGGAAATGGCTTCCTCTCTGGAGCCTCTAGAAGGAACCAGCCCTGTGGACACCTCAACTTTAGCCCAGTGAGACCCACACTGGACTCTTAACATATGGATTATAAGAGAATATATTTCTGTTTACACTGCTGTTTTGGCATAGCTGTAGGAGAGGGAACTCACACATCAAGCAAAACTCCAAAGCAGAAATAAGCGGAGAATGCACGCACGAGTGAGTGTGCGCAATGTGTACACAACCGTGTGTGGATCCCATGGGGAGGTCCTGGGGAAGACTGGCAGGGGAAGAGGCCCATTTAAGCAGCCCCCAGTAGTGGTGTTATATCATGTGTTTACTTCGTGAAAACTCATTCCACTGTACACATATGACTTGTGTACTTCTCAGTTAAAAAATTTATTAAAGAAGGCCAGGTGCGGTGGCTCACGCCTGTAATACCAACACTTTGGGAGGCTGAGGCAGGTGGATCATGAGGTTAGGCGTTTGAGAGCAGCCTGGCCAGCATGGTGAAACTGTCTGCACTAAAAATACAAAAGATTAGCCAGGCATAGTGGTGGCACACCTGAGTAGTCTCAGCTACTTGGGAGGCTGAGGCAGGAGAATTGCTTGAACCTGGCAGCTGGAGGTTGCAGTAAGCCGAGATTGCGCCACTGTACACCAGCCTGGGAGATAAAGTGAGACTCTGTCTCAAAAAGAAAAAAAGAAAAAGAAAAAGAAAAAAAGGTCTTTTGGGAATTTTAAAGCACAAGGGCCAAACCAATCACACTAAAACTGAAGGTTTAATTACAGATTGATAAACCATCTGCTCCTCACATGGTACATTCCTCTGGATGAGCTGTTGACTTCTAAGCCTCCACTTCTCCATCTCTAAAATGGAGATGAAGACTGCACCTATCTCACTGGGTCACTGCGGACTAAATGAGATGGAGCTCAGCAGCTGTCTTCCCTGCAGCTGCTGCACCAACACAGGGTGTGCGGCACTCACAAAGGGCTCTGGTACTAGCAGCAAGAAAGGGAGGGAGGAGGCACTAAGGAGCAGCTCTCATGTCGGCTTCCTCAGGGATCTCCACCATTTACTCTCTTCACTGATATGTATGAGTTACTGGGGAAAGGGTAGAGGGCTGGGACTTATCTCCATAGAAAGAAGAAATTGCACTCAAGCTGTACTGTTTCCAGTAGTTTTCTATGTACCCAATTAAGTGAACTTGCTGATGAAGTGTTTTCAATGGACTAACAGACTCCTGAAAATGCTGTGTGGGACACGCAAGAGAGGCAGCTCCCGATTCCCTCGATTCTTCCCCATCTGCCACTGCTCTACTGCTGCCAGCTGGCCTCCCAGGGCAGCCTGAGCAGCTTCCCATGGGTCTGGCCATGGTCCTGGAAGGAGCCTCACGTTAAGAGCAACCGTGGTCTGGGCATACTGAAAGGGAGGCTCACCAGGGCCACTCTCGGCATAGGCCCCACTGCTAGGAGCTTTCTCCTGGCTCATTGTTCTAAGTGAAGTGACTTTAGCCCCAAGAGGTTCCAGAACGTGTTCACAGACCCCAAATTTATGCCAGGAAGCCACCAGGCTGACCTGGTGTAACTCCCTGAAGGACAGGTGACATTTCTGCCTTGAGTAAACCCCATGGACTAATGTGAACAGCAAAGTCTGGAAACAAAGGGCCACCATGTCACTGCAGTAACTGCGCTATTCCCCTGTAGTAGCCCCTCCTGTCCCTGCTCACACCCGCTGCCCATTCTCACTCAACATACCGCTGTGCAGGGACAGGTGGTGGGTGGGGGTGGAGGCCCCATCAAATATCGCTCTGTCCAGAAAGTCGATGGTGGACTCCGTGTAAACAACTTGGAAGACCTGGCCTAGCAGACAGCAAAGCTCCTCCGCAGCGACCTGCAGTGGGGGACAGCAGCTGCTTGGTCAGTCTGGCTGGAGATCACGCCTTCCCAGGCGGCCTGCAGGATACTTGGGGCAGCCCAGATGCTCAATAAACATGAATGAAGAGCAAATGCCAAAATGTGTCCCTCTGCCTTTTACTGACCCAAAAGGGTATCAAAAGGGAGACCCCGTCATCTGCCTCAGGACTCCATCTAGGACTGCCATGTGCCCAGGGTGGTTTTGCAAGTGTGAGGGGACTGTGCAGGCCACAAGTGTTAGCTCCCAACATAGTGCATGTTCTCTTTCCATTAATCTGACCTGTCAATACCCTCGCAACCCTATTCCAGCCCAGGAAAGAGCTGAGAAGAGATACCATCAGGATCACAGCCCACCTGGAAGTGTTTCTAACAGCTATAAAATGGTTTTATAACAGTGAGCTGTCTAAATAAAAGGCTCTCGCTCTCAACTGGGCCAATTTTTGTACCCCTCCCAGGGGACATGTGGCAGTATCTGGAGACATTTTCAGCTGTCACAAGGGGAGAAGCCAGGGATGCTGCTCAACAGCCTACAGGGCACAGGGCAGCCTCTCACAGTGGAAAGTATCCGGTTAAAAATGACAGTAGCACCAACACTGAGAAATGCTCATTGGAGGGTATTTAAGGTAGGTGGTCACTAGGATCCATTTCACAGATACGGAAATTAAACAGAAAGGTGTTAAGTGACTGCCAAGGCCCCACAGCTATTGGGCAACGGAGGGGGCCCCAAACCCTGGCCTACAAGGGCCTGGTCCTTGGCTCTTCCAGGTCGTGAGAAATCTGCAAGCACAGCCCGAAACACCAGGCAGGTCTAGGATGCAGCCCCTAGGCAGGTGACGGCCGCTGCCAGCGTGGGGACACTTTGAAGAACAATGAGCAAAAAGCTCAGTGGCAGCCGGGTGTGGCGGCTCATGCCTGCAATCTCAGCACTTTGGGAGGCTGAGGCAGGTGGATCACAAGGTCAGGAGTTCAAGACCAGTCTGGCCAAGATGGTAAAACCTGTCTACTAAAAATACAAAATTTAGCCAGGCATGGAAGTATATGCCTGTAATGCCAGCTACTCAGGAGGCTGAGGCAGGGGAATCGCTTGAACCCAGGCAGAGTCTTGCTGTTGCCCAGGCTGTAGTGCAGTGGCATGATGCCGTAAGCCAAGATCATGCCACTGCACTACAGCCTGGGCAACAGCAAGACTCTGTCTCAAAAAAAATAAAAAAGCTCAGTGGCCAGGTGGTCTCAGGGAAGGTGCTGGGGGTGGGAGGGATGGGGTTGGAGACAGGAGGGATGGAAGACACAGCGGTGGGAACCAGCAGAGAGCCTGGACCTGGGGCAGGACCTGGGATGCAGCCAGGGGTAGACAAGCTGTAGGTGGGGCCAGGATAGGGGGCAATGCCTGGGGCAAGGCTGAGCAGAGAGAGGGGTGCTAGGCAGGGACCAGGGTGAGGTGGGGCCAAGCAATGGCAGAGGAAGTAGCTGGGGCCTGGGCAGTGTGCAATGCTGTGCTGGGTGTGGCCAGGGTGGGGCCATGGGCGGGGCCGGCCATGAGCCAGGTTTGGGAGGAGCCAGAGACAGTGCACGGTTTTAAGTGAGTGGGGCGAGAAAGTCTCACCTTGCTCTCTGCAGCCAGGATGACCAAGCAGCATGCCTCCACTGGCCCAACTGCGCTCTCTGACAGGGAGCCTGCACTGAGGCCTCTGGAACTTTCTGCACACAGACTCTGGCTGGGGGAGATCCCTGGGTCCTGGGCTGAGAAGTAAATACCAACTCAGGTTAGCGCAGTGGACGGGCAGGCATGAGGGCACCTGAGGCAACAGCTGGAGCCGCTATGGAAACAGGCTGAGAGGACTTTTACCTGGCTCAGGAACCCACAGAACAACCTGGGTGAAGGGGCAGCACCAGGCATACCTCAGGGCAGGCTGCCTCCCTCCCCTGCTTCTCTAAACAAGGGTGGGAACAGATGAGCCCTGAGCTCCAGGGCACCAGAACTGCAAGTCATCTTGCAGTTTCACACACTTCAAGTTCATATACAACATACCACACACACAACCCTGAGAACAGTCACCTCCAGGAGGTTTCCATGTGTTCTGGCCAGGTTGTTCCCTTCTTACAGATGGGTAAACTGAGACATGGGGAGGTGAAAGGCTGGGCCTGAGGGTGTGTGAGTTGCACTGTCCATGTGGCAATCTAGATGGTCAGACCCCAGTGCCCTTGTTCCTGACACCCTACCCACCGCCTCCCTAGACAAACGAGGCTCTCCTGAAATACATGGAGTAACTCTATGATTTGCCTGATTGCAGGAGGGAGGCCCATCCCCAGGAAGCAAGGCTCTGACCATCAGTTTGGACTACCCTGGGAGGACTTCAGGACTGAAAACAAAGCCTAGAAGTGCCACTAGTGCCAGGGTATCGGAAGGCAAGCCAGCCTCAGGAGGGAGAGGAAGGCCGTCCCAGGCCAGATGCAAGGTGAGCACATGCACAGAGACAAGGGCTCCATAAAGGACCGTACCTCAAACCCCACAGTGAGACTCCGGGAGCTGCTCTGTCCCTATGGCAGCCACTGGCCACAGGACTACTGAGCATGCAAAATGTGATGCATTCACACTGAAACGTGTGAATTTAAACTATACATGGGATTTCAGAACTCAATGACTTTTATATTGGTTATATACTGATGTGATAATGTTTTGGGTACAGAGAGCTATATAAAATATATTACTGAAAATAATTTCACTTGTTTCCCTTTACTTTTTCTTTTTGTATGAGTTTGGTGAAAAATCTCTACTTTCAAACATTTTTTTTTTATAGTGACAAGGTTTCACCATATTGGCCAGGATGCTCTTGATCTCATGACTTCGTGATCCGCCAGCCTCAGCCTCCCAAAGTGCTGGGATTACAGGCGTGAGCCACCGCTTCCGGCCCAAACATTTTTAAAAGTTGGCTCCCTGGTGCGTGCCTATGGCAGTTCTCAAGGAAGCAGGGTGGGCAGCTTAAGGATGCAGGCAGTGAGCTGTGTGCCTCTCCTGTATCATCCAGGAAGTACCACCACAGGTGCACAGATGACCCTGCTTCCACTGGCAGCAACTCAAGTCACTGCCCTCCAAGCAGCTCCTGCCACACAGATCCTATTGCAGCTAGACCTTGCCCCCAACTCCCCACTCCTGTGCTGTCCCAAATATAAGGGTACTTTTGGTCCAAAGAGGCACAGAGACTTGCTTGCATGTAGCAGGAACTGAGTAAATGCTATTCACCTGCCAGTCTCTATGTTGAGAACTCACAACTCCTAATCCTAAACACAGTATGGCGACCCAGTGCAGTGGCTCATGCCCACAGTCCCAACACTTTGGGAGGCTAAGGCAGGAGGATCACTTGAGGCCAGGAGTTCAAGACTAGCCTGGGCAACACAGAGAGACACCATTTTTACAAAAAATTTTAAAATAGTTAAAAAATTTTAAAGTAAACACAATATGCTTCATGTAACACAAGAGACACACAACTGCTCCTGTGCATCTGCAAAAAAAACAAGGAAGACGGCCCCCAGGACACAAGCATTCACTCTCTTCCTTTAAACCAAAAGTTCTCTCAAAGACCAGAGGTCCTGTTTTTCAAGTATTTTTGGAAAGTTTCCCCTATGGTGGTCATTCTCTCTCCATTTAAAACAATCTGTTATCTATTTCCTTTAGCAATTTGTTCTAATAATTAAAGCTGAGAAACTGTTACGCAGCAGAAGAAACAAAGGGGGCCCATCTCCCCTCCCTACTAGCTTGAAACACCTGCAGTGTGGGTAACGCCCGCCATGGGCACCGAGGAAGAACTGTCCAGACCGCAGGCACAATTAGTGCCTGAAGAATATCTTAGTTTATAGTGTTATTACTTAGCTATTTCCTTTATATAATTCTTCATATATAATTATATATTAGTTTATAGAATTAGTGCCTGAAGTATAGCTTACTGTTTACATATATTGTTTATAAAATCATACTTAATATTTACATCTAGCATACTTAGTTCTGTATAATCTTTCTGTATAATCACATAGGTATTGTAGTTGGAGCTGTACTGACACATTTAGTGCTGATTTATATAATCCTTCTATATAACCATATAGTAGTATGTAGTAGGAGGAATGCCTAGAGCAGTCACAGAACAGAGGCAGTACATGCGAAAACAGCCAGACCAGGATGAGAACCAAAGATCTAGGCAGTGGCGTCCCTGCCTGAAAGGGCATACGCTGTGGCAGGCTTGGAGCAAGTGCCTCTCCTCCTGATAAAGGTGTTGCAGTATCTTGCATCCAGTTCCTGTGCAAAGTAGGCCTCAGGCCTGAGATCCTGGAAATAACCGAGGGAGAAGAATCCATCTGGAGTGACCAGTCATAGTGGCTGTACACCCTGTCAGTCTTTTCTCGCTTCTGTGCTACCTCAAATCATCCTCCCATAAATGGCTTACGAGCACATTTGTTAGCTCCTACTGCATTCAGCTTATAGTATCCTTTTATTAGAAATTCTCTGACGTCTCCAGCCCCTAGATAAGAAGTGTTATGCACGACACCTGTTGCACACAGCCCACCTCCTTGCCTCAGTGACCTAATGGGGGTGGACCCCTTTTTTTGTACATGACCCTCTACTACTGTTCATGGCACAGCCCCCTACGGCACACGGCCCATCTCTCTGCCCAGGTGACATAATGGGGTGGCCCCCTTGCTTGTGGCTCATGTGATTATGTATGCCCTATTACTAAGCCTACAGATGTTCTCACTACGGCCCTGCCCCCTAATTGTACCTAATAAATATACTTGCTCTTGGGTATTTGGGGTGCTCGCCGATCTCCACTCACAGGTGGTGTGGCCCCCCGAGTCCAGATGCTCTTCACCAGTTCTTCAGTGTCCTATCTCTTTATTTTCTGATCCTGTACCTCAGCACAGCATAGGGGATACCCCACGACCCTGTGTGGCCCAACAGCCCTACACTGCAGGAAGGATGTCCCAGGCCTAAGGCCTCTCACAGGGTCCAAAGGTAGAAAAACAGGAGGGTCGAGCTGGGTGCAGTGGCTCATGCCTATAATCCTAGCACTTTGGGAGGCTGAGGTGGGTGGATTACCTGAAGTCAGGAGTTCAAGACCAGCCTGGTCATCATGGTGAAACCCCATCTTTAAAAAAAAAAAAAAATTGAAAAAAGAAAAACAGGAGGGTCACCATGGTGTCGGACAGTATGGCTGGAAGTAGCCACCTGGCCAGCCTTCTAAGTCAGATAGGGTGAGTGATTATGTATGTGTAGGTGTGGTGTGTGCCTGTGCTGGGGAGGGTGTAGGCAAGTCTAAGCTACTACTACACAGAGGACAAAGCAAGGGACAACAGGCACCTTCATAAACCCCTTCAGTGTTGCCTCTGTGGTTTGTGACCACAGCAACCCCAAGCATCTAGACTCACAGGCTTTCTATGGACTGTTCTCAAGAGTGCACCCAAGCTGGCGGTTCGTCGCTCAAGGAGTTAGTAATGAGCATACTCACCAGGTTCTCAATAAACTACTGACCTTAAGTGGAATGACAACTTCCCCTCTCTGCTACCTAAAACACAGTGTGTGGTCTAGGCAGACCCACTGTGACCCCTCACACACTGCCACTGGCCCTCTGGAAATGAAAGGCTTTGGGATCAACCCCGTCACCAGCAGAGATCCAAAAAGCCCAGAATAGTGTCCCCACTGCAACGGCAACCTCAAAACTCAGGACTAGAAGGGGCAAAGAGCAGGGAGGGTGAACCACAGTCTCTTCCCTCATCCTCAGTGGCCTGAATGCCTGGGCTGGAAGCACTGGAAATTAATGGGCAGCCTGGGCTAGTGTCCAGTGAGGCAGCACTGTACTCACCACAGGTTAAGAGAATGAGCCAAAAATAACATTTTGCCCGATATCCCAGTGTGAAAGGAGCAGATAGCAAGGACACACTCACAGCAACCTCTACCACCAAGAGCTCCTGAGAGGTCTGTGTCTCATCTTTGCTGTCCCAGCTTTGGGGACACTGTGCAGGGCTTAAAATGTCAGTCAAGCTGAGGTGAGGTCCCTACCCACCGCCTTTTCTCTCGGCTCCACCACACCTGGGCAGAGGGGTGACTCCAGTGTACCAGGAGGGAGTCAACAGGAGCGCCAGTGGGCACAGGAACAGGGTATCAGTCCCAAATACTGTATCCCGGTATTATTGAGTCCCAAAGGCTCTTAGTGTGACAGTGAAACCCAGGGTCTGGTAGCTGATCTCAAGCCCTCCTCTGGCTGATCTCAGAGACAGGAAAGCCAATTCTTGGTCATAACAAACAGGAGCACCCAACATGAAGCTGCAAAAACTGTCTCCAGAATTTCATAAAATGCACGCATGTAATCCTGAGGCAAGGACCCTCCTGACCCCTGACCTCCTGTACCTGTCTTCAGGACCACCAGGTGTGCAGCATCATCCCGGACATAGGAGACGGCGGCGATGTCATGGATGGGCACCCTGAGGATGATATCCTCCCCGTCCCTCCAGGCCAGCTTGACGTTGTACGCAGACAAGCTGAGCACAGCATCATGCTCCTGAGTCAAGTGTCCTGGAAGTTGGTGGGCTCTCTGGAAGGAACCACAGGGCGTCAGAAATGCCAACTCAGCTGTCAAACAGCATGGGGCGCTTCTCTCGAGAACACTGTGCTGGCAACTGTCACTATGTGACAGACGCTGAGTGAGTAAGGTCAGTGTTATCCCCCCAGAACAGGGTGTTTATTCCAGGGACACCAATGCGTTCAAACCATTTGGGATTCTTCTGGAACTGCTTTCAGATTCTTCTGGAACTGCCTTGAGGACTTATGGATGGCAGGTGGTTGGAAATATCTTGAAAACGTAAATTTTGGAAACTGCCCAAAATCACATGGAGCAAGTTTCGAGAAGCAAGTTAATGTCCATATTGAGGAATAGTCTTTATGGGACTGGGTCATTCCTCACAACCACGAGGCTAAGAGTACAGGGAACAAGGGCTGGTGGGGGCTGAGAGATAGTGCACAGGGGTTAAGAGGATAGAGTTACCTTTGCATTGTCTATGAAATGCAGGATTTCAGTCCTACTGGAGGGATTCAGGTATCCTGGTATGGACGTTAACTGACCTAAATACTGAAAGAAAGCGAAGAAAAAAAATGCCATGAGAAACGGGAGCTAAGTCAACACCACCATCACTATTGCCAAGAGCACAGACCAAGTGCTTCATACTCAGGCCACCAGGCTCACGGGTCTCCTAGAGGCCTGACTCTAGGAAGAGAGTCCTGGGTTCTTACAGAAGTCTCTACTGACTGGGAACAGGGCTGCCCCATCTCCTACTATTCTACACTCAAGGTTATCATCCAAAGTCCTGCAACAAGTATCCCAAACTACTAGTACCAAGACTACTAGTTGTGGTAGAATCTGTATTCTAAGACAGGGATGGCCAGTGCTTCCCAGTCACTGCTGGGGAAACCGAAAACAATGAAACCATGCACAACTTCACTAAAAATACTAAAAAAAAAGGTCAACACAGCTGAAAAATGAGCATAAATAGAGAAAGTAAGTGCTATGGTTTCAATGTGTCCCCCCAAAAAGCATGTGCTGGAAACTTAGTCCCCAAATGCAACAATGGTTAAGAGGTGGGGCCTTTAAGAGGTGATTAGGCCACACAGGGCTCCGCCTTTTTTAGATTAATGCTGTTATCCTGAGAGAGGGTTTGTTATCTCGGCACTAGGTTCCTGATAAAAGGATGAATTCAACCCCCTTCCCTCTCCTGCCCTTCCACCTTTCACCCTGGGATAACACAAAATGCAGATGTAGCCAGCCCTTCACGAGCTGTGTCCTTCAGCCTTGAACCTCCTATCCTCCAGAACTATATGAATTTTTTTTAAAGACAGATCTCACTCTGTCACATAGGCTGGGGTACAGAGGCACGATCTTGGCTCACTGCAGCCTCCCAGACTCAAAGCAATTGTCCCACCTTAGCCTCCTGAGTAGCTGGGACTATAGCTGTGTGCCACCATGCCTGGCTCATTTTTGTAGAGATGGGGTTTTGCCATGTAGCCCAGGCTGTTCTCAAACTCTTGGACTTATGCAATCTGCCCACTGTGGTCTCCCAATGTGCTGGAATTACAGGTGTGAGGCACCATGCCCAGGCTAGAAATTTCTTTTTTTTTTTTTTGAGACGGAGTTTCGCTCTTGTTACCCAGGCCGTGCAATGGCACGCTCTCAGCTCACTGCAATCTCCGCTTCCTGGGTTCAGGCAATTCTCCTGCCTCAGCCTCCTGAGTAGCTGGGATTACAGGCACGCACCACCATGCCCAGCTAATTTTTTGTGTTTTTAGTAGAGACGGGGTTTCGCCATGTTGACCAGGATGGTCTCGATCTCTTGACCTCGTGATTCACCCGCCTCAGCCTCCCAAAGTGCTGGGACTACAAGCGTGAGCCACCGCGCCCGGCCGAAATTTCTATACGTTATAAATTTCCCAGTCGGAAAGCGGAAGGGGAAGGAGAGAGAAAGGCACAACCAGAACATTCTGTTATCCTTAACAAAGGCCTTTCCTCAAGGAAAACTATTTTACCAGAGCCTAACCACCTAGGAGTAAGGAAATACCCAATTCCTGCCTCCTCTATTCTTTATGTCTCTCCTAAGAGGGAGGAAAAAAAACAAAACTGAGAAGCACATGTGAAGGCCATAGCCCGGGGACACACTAAAACTTTGAGCCCCAGGACTACAGAATACTCCCTCTCCTCTTCCCTGAGAGCCACATCAACAGGACTCCTGTGTAATAACAAGGATGCACACCAGCAAGAACTGCAGGCCTCAGACTCAGATTTCAGAAGGAATCTTGAGGAAAACCCAAAAACAAAGAACACACAGGAGATTTCATCCCCCAACATTACAAGGGCAGCAAACAGTAAACACAGTCCAGCTCCCAGCCAAACAGACCTCACACTAAGGCCTATTGACCTGACGCTGATGCCTAAGTTCCTCATATCAGAACCAGATTCACACATAGCGGCGATTTCGGAACAACCAGATTGGGAATTTAAAACAACTACAATCAATATGGTAATGGCTCTAATGGAAAAAGCAGACATTGTGTGAGAACAGATGGGTAGAATAAACAGAGATGGAAACCCCAAGCAACAATCAGTAGGAAATGCCAGAAAGTAAAAGTCCTGTAACAGCAATGCAGACTACCTTCAACAGGCTCATCAAGAGGCCAGACACAGCCAAGGAGAGACTCTGAGCTTAAGAATACATCAACAGAAACTTCCAAACATGAAAAGCGAAGGGAAAAAAGAATGAAAGAAACAAAACAGAATGTGCAAGAACTGCGGGACAGTTGCAAAAGGTGTAACGTATATGCAACAAGCATATCAAGAGGAAGAAAAGAACCTAAGAGCTATTTGGACTAATGAGAGCTGAGAAGTTCCGCAAATTAACATCAGACACCCACCTATGGATCCAGAAAGGTCAAAGAACACAGAATGGTAAAAAACAAGGAATCTTTGCTGAAGCACATCACATCGAACTGCAGAAAAAGATTTTCTCTTTTGCAGAAATCTGGGATTTCTTTCCACAGGAAAGAACCACCCTACCTACAAATAGCAAGAACAAGAATAACACCGGACTTCTCTTCAGAAATCATACAAGCAAGAAGAATGAAGAAGGAACTATTTAAAGGACTGAGAGAAAAAAGTACACCAACCTATGATTCTGTACCCAGTGAAATTATCCTTCAAAAGTGAAAGAGAAATGATTTTTCTCAAAAACTCAGAGATTTAACATTTCAAGAAAAGTTAAAAGAACTTCAGAGAGAATGAAAATGATTTGGTCAGAAACTCTGTTCTACATAACGAAGGGGAAAAGCATCAGAGAAGAAATAAAGGTAGGTAAAATTAATCTTTTATTTATTTTATTTTATTTTTTGAGATGGAGTTGCTCTGTTGCCAGGCTGGAGTGTAGTGGCACGATCTTGGCTCACCGAAACGTCGGTCTGCTGGATTCAAGCGATACCCCTGCCTCAGCCTCGTTAAGTAGCTGGGACTACAAACGTACGCCAACACGCCCAGCTAATTTTTTGTATTTTAGTAGAGATGGTGTTTCACCATGACCAGGATGGTCTCAATCTCCTGATCTCATGATTCACCCACCTCAGCCTCCCAAAGTGTCGGGATTACAGGCTTGAACCACCGTGCCTGGCCTATTTTTCTTATTTTAATTGCTCTAATGCATTAACAGTTTGTTCAAAATAAAATTTGTCTATTGGGTGACTATAGCCTAGGGATAAATGAAATAAATGGTAGCAATGTTATAAAAGTGGTGGGAGGAGTGAATTGGGAATACTTGGTTACAAGGTACTTGGACTACCTGTGAAACAGCACACCATTATTTGAAAGCTGATTCTGATTAGTTCTGAGTGTATAATGCAAACCCTAAGGCAACCACTTTTTTGAGACAGGGTCTGGCTCTGTCGCCCAGGCTCTTGGGCTGAAGTGATCCTCCTATCCATAGGTGAGACTACAGGTACATGCCACCACAACCAGCTAATTTTTGTATTTTTTTGTAGAAACAGATGGGATTGTGCCATGTTGCCCAGGCTGGTCTTGAACTCCTGAGCCCAAGAGATCACCCACCTAGGCCTTCAAAAGTCCTGGGAATACAGGCATGAGCCACCATACTCAGCCCATACCTTTTCTTTCTTTCTTTTCTTTTTCTTTCTTTCTCTCTCTCTCTCTGTTTTTCTTTTCTTTCTTTTTTTTTTTTTTTTTAAGACGGAGTTTCGCTCGTTACCCAGGCTGGAGTGCAATGGCGTGATCTCGACTCACAGAAACCTCCGCCTCCTGGGTTCAGGCAATTCTCCTGCCTCAGCCTCCTGAGTAGCTGGGATTACAGGCACGCACCACCATGCCCAGCTAATTTTTTTTTTTTTGTATTTTTAGTAGAGACGGGGTTTCACCAGGTTGACCAAGATGGTCTCGATCTTTTGACCTCGTGATCCACCCGCCTCGGCCTCCCAAAGTGCTGGGATTACAGGCTTGAGCCACCGCGCCCGGCCTCTCTCTGTTTTTCTTTTAAGAGACAGGGTTTCGCCACACTGCCTAGGCTAGTCTCAAACTCCTAGGCTCACTTGATCCTAGTGCCTTGGCCTCCCAAAGTGCTGGGATTACAGGCATGAGCCACCATGCCCAGCCAAAAGTTCTAAACAAAATATTAGCAAATTGAATCTAATAATGTATTAACAATAATTATACACCATGATCAAGTGGAATTTATCCCAGGTGTGCAAGGCTGATTCTATATTCAAATATCAATCATTGTAGGCTGGGTGCAGTGGCTCATGCCTGTAATCCCAGCACTTTGAGAAGCTGAGGCAGGTGGATCACCTGGGATCAGGAATTTGAGACAGCCTGGCCAACATGGCAAAATCTTGTTTCTATTAAAAATATTTTTAAAAAAGATAGCTAGATATGGTGGCGGGCACCTATAATACCACCTACCCAGGAGGCTGAGACAGGAAAAATCACTTGAACCTGGGAGGTGGGGGTTACAGTGAGTCAAGATCGTGCCTCTGCACTCCAGCCTGGGCAAAAGTGAAATTCTGTCTTGGGGAAAAAAAAAAAAGAAAGTTAGCTGGGCATGGTGGCGCATGCCTGTAATCGCAGCTACTCAGGAAGCTGAAGCAGAATTGCTTGAACCTGGGAGACAAAGGTTGCAGAGAGCTGAGATCATGCCACTGAATTCCAGCCTGGGCAACAGAACAAGACTCTGTTTAAAAAAGAAAATTGTAATCCATCATGTATCAACTAACTAAAGAAGAAAAATCATATGATCAACAAATAGATGCAGAAAAAGCATTAGACAAATCTAACACTCATTCATGAGAAAAACTCTCAGCAAACCAGGAATACAGACTTCCTGAAATTAAGAACATCTACTAAAAAAAACCCTAAAGTGAACACCATACTTAATGGCAAAAAATTAGGTATCTTCCCCCTAAAATCCCTCTTACCACTATCATTCAACATCACATGAAAGTCTCAGCTACTGCGATGATGCAGGAAACAAAAAGTACAAAGGTTGTGAAACTGTCTTTGCTCACAGATGACCTTCCTGACTGGGAACC